CACAGCCTGTCACTGAGCCCATCGAAGTCATCTCTGTGTGTATCTGTGCTCTCACAGCCTGTCACTGAGCCCATCGAAGTCATCTCTGTGTGTATCTGTGCTCTCACAGCCTGTCACTGAGCCCATCGAAGTCATCTCTGTGTGTATCTGTGCTCTCACAGGCACACTGAGCCCATCGAAGTCATCTCTGTGTGTATCTGTACTCTCACAGCCTGTCACTGAGCCCATCGAAGTCATCTCTGTGTGTATCTGTGCTCTCACAGCCTGTCACTGAGCCCATCGAAGTCATCTCTGTGTGTATCTGTGCTCTCACAGGCGCACTGAGTCCATCGAAGTCATCTCTGTGTGTATCTGTGCTCTCACAGGCGCACTGAGCTCATCGAAGTCATCTCTGTGTGTATCTGTGCCCTAACAGGCTGTCACTGAGCCCATCGAAGTCATCTCTGTGTGTATCTGTGCTCTCACAGCCTGTCACTGAGCCCATCGAAGTCATCTCTGTGTGTATCTGTGCTCTCACAGGCGCACTGAGCCCATCGAAGTCATCTCTGTGTGTATCTGTGCTCTCACAGGCGCACTGAGCCCATCGAAGTCATCTCTGTGTGTATCTGTGCTCTCACAGGCGCACTTGCGCGTGTGTGCCTACGCCCATTTGGAGACCGGGGGCTGATGCTGGGTTCCCTTGCTCAGCCTCCACCTTAGTTTTTGAGGATCTCTCACTGAATTTGGAGCTCACTTACTCAGCTGGACTGGTTGATCATTCTTCCCCCCTCTTCCTCTTCTCTGCTTATTTAAGACAACGTGGAGTTTGCTGGTTTGTCTGGACTGGCTGCCAGCAAGCCCCAGGGAGACTTTCATCTTCACTTTCCTGTGCTGGAATTCCATGCATGTGCCACCGTGCCTGACTGTCTGTGGGTGCTGAGGAGCTGAATTCAGGGCTGCAGACTTGCATGGCAGGGTTTGCCCACTTGGCCCCTGCACCACCTCAACGGTTTTTAGATGCCTTCTTGCTGCTCCCCAGGAGTGACACATCACACCCCCATAACCTTTCTGCTGTCCATCCTGCTGAATCACCCTGAGCTCCCACTGAGGCTCTCACCCAGGGCCTACTGTGTCCCGTTCTCTGGTCCACCAGACTGGGGGGAGCACTACCTGTGTCAGAGAGACACAGGGACCCACCTGACTCTGCTATCTCAGCCCTTTGCATGGGACTGCATGTGTGCGTGCGTGTGTGTGTGTGTGTGTGTGTGTGTGTGTGTGGTCAGTCACAGCTTTTGGGTTCATATGATTCGCTGAGGGGTTGGGCTGTGTGCCTTTCACTGCTTTGTGACACGCACCCCCCCCCCAACACTTTATGTCTGCTGGTGACACTGTGCAGCAGTCTGAGCCCAGGATGAGGGACAGCTGCTCTCCAGTGGAGGTATCTTTAACCCCCATTATAGAGTTTATTTACCTTATTTTGGTTGTTTTGGGGTCTTTTTTGTTTTTTTTCAGAGCTGAAGACAGATCGCGGGGCCTTGTGCTTGCTAGGCAAGCGCTCTACCACTGAGTGAAATCCCCAAGCCCTAGAGTTTATTGTGAGTGTGTGCATACGTGTTCATGTGTTTGCATGTTCCTCATGTTCCTGTGGAGGTCAGAGGGAAACCTTGGGTGTTTTTCCTCAGGAGCCATCACTTTATTTAATTTTAAAAATTTAAAAGATTTTAATATCTTTAATTGTGTGTGTGTGTGTGTGTGTGCGCGCGCGCCTGTGTGTGCCTGTGTGCGTGCGTGTGAGCGCAGTGCCCACAGAGGTCAGCAGTGTGCGTTCCCCTGGGGCTGGAGTTATAGGTGGTTGTGAGCCACTTGATATGGGTGCTGGGAATGAACTCGTGTCTTCTGGAAGGACAGTACAGTCCTTAATCCCTGACCCATCTCTCCAGTCCCCACTTTATTTTTTGAGTCAGAGTCTCTTACTGGGGCCTGGGTATCACCCAGCAAGCCCCAGGGATCCTCCTATCCCTGCTTATCCAGCACGAGGAGTACAAGCATGCATCACCAGGCCCGGCTTCTATGTGGGTGTTCAGAATGAGACCCAGGCCTCTATGCTTGCGTGGCAAACCCTTACCAGGGAGCCATCTCCCCAGCCCCATATCTGTTTCTCTTGCTTCTGTTCTCTTGGGGTGCACAGGCCTGGGCAAGTCTAGTCCACAGGCAGGCTGCCAATTCCCTCTCTCTGCTAGCTCATATGCATCTGGTGGCAGCTGGACCAGTCCATGATATGGGCGGGCTCAACCGTCTTTCCTCTTCCTCAGAAACCCATCACTGACTTTTGTCTCCCATAGAGTGAGACATGCTCCTGTCCCCTTCCTTGGGTTCTAGTCTGGCAGGTGATAGGCAAACCTTGGGCATATCTACATTCATCTCATGCCAAAAGTGACAGTGGACAAGTAGGTGGAAGCATACCCGGAATTTCAGCAGTGGGAGCAGGAGGCTCTCAAAATTAAGGCTAGCCTAGGCTACGTAGTGAGACTATCTGCTCTGGCAGGAAGATCTCAAGGTCGAGGCTAGCCTGGGCTACAAAGTTAGATTATCTGTTCTGGCAGGAGGCTCTCGAGGTCAAGGCTAGCCTGGGCTACTGTAGTGAGATTATTTGCCTTGGCAGGGGGCTCTTGAGGTCAAGGTTAGCCTGGGCTACATAGTGAGACTATCTGCTCTGGCAGGAGGATCTCAAGGTCGAGGCTAGCCTGGACTACTTTTCCTGATGCTGTGGTAAGTCACTCTCACCAATGCATCTTAGAAGGGGAGGGTTTATTCTGGTTGACAGGTTACCGTCCATCACCAAGGGAAGAAGCTCAAGGCAGGAACCGAAGTAGGAACCGCAGAGGGATACTGCTTACTGGCTTGCTCAGCTACCTTTCCTACACAGTTCAGGCCCATCTGCCTAGGGGTGGCACCACCCATGGTGGGCTGAGCCTTCCCACACCAACTGGCAATCAAGAAAATGCAGAGACATGCCCACAGGCGAAGCCGATGGAGGCAATCCCTCAACTGAGAGCTCTTCTTCCAAGTACCTCAACTTGACGAACACCATAACTAGCCGTCATGCCACATCAAGAGTCATTCAAATAAACAAAACAAACAAAGTGGTATCAGCGTGTGCCCACACACTCCCCTGACAGTCTGAGGTAGCAAGGATCCTTCACCAGAGTCTGTGCCAGGCTGTTCGAACTTCCAGTCTCCAAACTGGGAGCTAAATACACCTGTTTTCTTTATTCCCTTCTCCAAAATAGTGACCTCAAGTTTCACTCTAATTCCAACCATCCATTATAGGGAATACTGATGTCTTATCTATTTTGTTTTGATTTTGAAGGAGCTAGGGATAGAATCTGAGGCTTTGGGCAAGCTGGGTAAGCACTTTATCACTGGTTCACATTAGTAGTTGCTAGGCAGGGGCTCTACCACTGAACTACATCCCAGCCCCTCACTGGGGGATTCTAGGCTGGTGCTCTACCACTGAGCCATACCCCAGCCCCTCACTGGGGGATTCTAGGCTGGTGCTCTACCACTGAGCCACACCCCAGCCCCTCACTGGGGGATTCTAGGCAGGGGCTCTCCCACTGAGCCACACCCCAGCCCCTCACTGGAGGATTCTAGGCAGGGGCTCTCCCACTGAGCCACACCCCAGCTCCTCACTGGGGGATTCTAGGCAATCTGCCTGCCACTGAGCCACAACTCCAGGCCCTCACTGGGGGACTCTAGGCAGGTTCAGTACTGGTAACCTACTTCCCAGCTTTTAATATGTTTGGAGCTAGGTCTTCCTAGTCACTCAGGCTGGCCTTGACCTCCCTCTGTAGCTTTGAACTCATGATCCTCCAGAGTAGCTGGGGCTTCAGGCTTGCACTGCCATGTTGGACTACATGATTTTTATAATCATGGCCCCCATTTTAAGATCTGTTTCCCCTTTGTGCCCTGCCCACTTGACAATAGGGTTTGAGAACATGGAGATTGAGGCACATGGCACATGGCGGGGGTATACACACCCATCACCTGCAAGGAGGAAGGCGATTTGCTAGGTAATCGGTCTGTGTAAGAAACCAGGGCGTGTAAGAGTGTCATCATGGAGATAGCTCACGTGCACACATGGGGACACACATCCCAGGGAAGCGAGAGACAAGGACCTTCCTTCTTTCTGTGCCTGCATGTGTATAGGCAAACGGGGGAGAGCCAGCCAGAGAGCCAGCTGGGCCCTTACTCTGTAGCATCCGGGCTACATGGTCTATTAAGAAAACCACAAACATTTCACAGGGTCTTCTCAATGTAAGTGACAGGAGGCTGAAGACGAGGGAGGGGGCAGAGGCTAGACCTGGTACCTGGGACACTCAGCTCCAGACTTAGGTGGCCATCAGGCTCAGGGTCCAGGGACTTCAGAACATAGGTGCCCTGTGTGGGGCAGCAGAGCACTGCCCAAAATAGCCATGGATATAGCATGGAACTGTCAAGGCTCCACTTGTCTAAGGCCATTGCAAGTCCACTACCCATTATTCATGCCAGGCCTGGGGAGGACGGGTCAGAACAGTGATGTTCTGACCTCAAACTACAACCTTTTGTTCATTTGACTGCTATAGCCCACAGGAACCCCTCATGGCTCGAACAGGCTGAACCCCTGTTTGCCACACCTTTGTCAGCACCCTGCACACACAAGCGATGCCAGAGGCAGTGTGGGGGAGCTGTGGGTCATCAAAGAGGGATCAATCTCCTGGTCACATCCTTCCCATGTCAGGGTCAGACACGCGCAGCTGCCTGGATATCCTCAAGGGGTCACCACCCTTCTCCACACCGTGAGCTCCACGAAGAGACCTATGACCAGGGGACAGGTCCGGACACGTCCTGACACGCACCGCCGAGGACGTAGGCCGTGGTCTGGAAAGAAAGGATGCTCGCTGGGGCTTGACGTCGTGGACATCTCCAAGGGTGGGCAGGGGTCTCTTGCAGCGGAGAGGAGCAGGGAGTCCAGCGATGCTCACCATGAGTAGCCACGAGCATCCTCCACGCACAGGAGGGTCGTCGCGGCAGTCTCACTACCTGCACTCAGAACTCCGTGGTGATGCCCCATGACCGGAAGTGCCCCCCCGTGGGCGCGGACAAGGCGGGGCCGGCGGGCGGCACTTCCGGTACCCACGCGCCGCCGCCTCCTTCGCTGTCGCGCAGCTCGCGGCCGTCACTTTGTGTAGTGCGGGGGGGTCCCCGGTGGTCACAGCCCCCGCCCCCGAGTCCGTGTCTCGCTCCGGCTTGGCCGGGCCTCGGGCGCGCGCGCGGTGAGTGGGGCGCGCGGACGCGGCAGGTGCGCGCGGGCGGGACGCGCGCGCTGGGGGCGGTGGCAGCGGCGAGCCTAGCCGTCCTGGATGCCCGGGCGCTGGAGGCCTCGAGTGGTCATGGGGCGATCGCGGGGCTCCCGGGCCTGTCTTTGGATGGGTCGGAACTGCAGCTGCAAGAGCTGGATCTTCCAGGCCCCTAGGTACCCCCGTACCGGCCTGGGCCTCCGCGTCACATCACGGATGGCTTGACTCGCCCCCCACCCCGAGGGAGCATTCACTCCAGCGTGGGAGGGGGCGGACCGGAGACGACTGGCGCTGCACCTTTGGAAGGTGCGAGCGCCGCCTCCTCCAGTTCAGGGGCGGGAGCTGGGCGGGGGCCGCCTCCAACCCCCGGAGAGACACCTTCCGAGAAGGGCTGTCAGCACTCCTACCCGGGCTTGAGACGAATCCTAGGTAACCCCCTATAGGGAAGTAGAGGAGGGAAGCACTCTGTGTTGGCGTCCTAAAGCCGGCTTTGTGACAGTCAGCTTCGCCTGCAGATAGAGACTGACTGGGTGCCTATCTGCTAAGTCTGTTGCCCCCGAGGTGGGTGGGGCAACTCATCCCGCGGGTTGTTGGATTTGAGGGTGCCTCATGTGGACACAGGAGGGAAAGAGGAGGTGCAGGTACCAGCGAGGATCAGCTCACCTACTCAGCTTCAGTGGGTGGCATTAGCACTTTGTTTTGGTTCAGTGGCTACTGGCCGGTCTTGCGGGGAGGCTAGCTGGTCTGGTTGAGGAGCTTGATCTGGGGATCTCGGATGGCCTCCAGGAGTAACCCTGGAGAGTCAGGGCTCCGGAAACACGGCAGAAGGTGAGGATTGTAGAGAACAGGGAAGACAACCTGGACAAAAAAGTCCTGAAGGGCTTTGAAGTGGGGGGCACTGAGCTGCAATGAAGGTAACTGGATACAAGTGTGCATGCATATGCACGAGCACACACAGACATGCGCCTTCGCGTGGGTTCCCCTGGATTTGGAACTTTTTTGGAGATCCGGACTTTTCAAACTTTACCACTTGTGTTTGCAAACCCCCTTCTTATGGACAGGGCTCCGCCCCTTTTTGTGTCTGCTAAGTCCACTAAGGCTCTGAGTCCTCTAACGCTCCGGGAAAGAGGGGTTGGAGTGAAGCAGGGTTTTTGCATGACAAAGCCTTGAACTTGTCTCTTGCATTCTGATCTTGGGTGGGAGGTCAAGGGGAGGTGAGGAGAAAAGCTCTCTGGGGACTGATTGGCTGGGGGTGGGTGGGGGTGGGAATATCAGGGGAGGTGGGGAGCCCCCTGGGCCCGAGTTGTAGGCCTGTGAACTGACCTACCCCTGGTCAGACTGGTTTTCAGAACTTTTGTTAGGAATAGGCCTAGGTCAGAGTGCCTGAAGCGTCAGGCTTTTCTTGACTTCTGCTCTTTCTTCCTGTGAACTGCTAACCTTACAGGATTCTTGGGGGGGGGGGGGGGGGGGGCTCATTTGGGAGGGTTTGAGACAAGGTTTCTCTGTGTAGCCCTGGCTGCCCTAGAACTCTAGACCAGGCTGGACTCGAACTCACAGAGATCCAGCTGCCTCTACCTCCCTAGTGCTGGGATTAAAAGCGTGCACCACCACCACCCAGCAACCTTGGAGGCTTTTAATGGTTTCTTTCTCCTTGCCCTGACCTGACAAGCAGTTTAAGAGAGGAAGCTTTTGCTAGGCTCACAGTTTAAAGGCACAGACCATTGCTTGAGGTAGCTGGTCACATTGTATCCACAGTCAAGAAGCATACGGGGGAAAAATGTTGGTACTCAGCTCCCTTGCTTCTTTTATTCAGTCCACAACCCCAGCTCCGGGGATGGTATCATTCAGAGAGGATCTTCCCACTGTGATCAACCTGACCTAGAAACTCCCCCACAGATACCCCAGAGGCTTCTCATCTGTGATTCCAGATCCTGTCAAGTGCATAACAATAACCATCATTGGGCTAGTGCACGAATTTGATATTACCCACTGTCCTCTTTGGAGGCAGAGACTCGCCACTGCTTCTGGGGTGGATTTTAGTTTGATGTATCCTTCCCTCGGTCTGTGGTTGGCCTGCTGTGGAGTGACAGCTGAGCCCTGCCTCTGATTTAAAAAACAAAACAAACCGATATGTGGGTCATTGACTATGATCTTCGGGCCCTGTCTTCAGTAAGGTCTGGCGTGACTGCTGTGGGTCTGGCATGGGGACCCAGGGGGAAGAAAATGGGGACTCTATATCATCTTTAGTAAAGAAAACGTGGATGCTGCCTGGGAAGAGAGGTAGCCACGATGGGTTGCCTCCTCCTCCTCTTCTTTGTGAATAGTGTCTGTACAGTTTTGTGTGAGCATCTGTGCACGCACATGCATATACACAGTGTGAGTGTAGGTGACAGAGGTCGGCCTCAGGTCTCTGCTTTAGGCCCTGTCCACCATATTTGAGGCAATGTCTCTCTGAACCTGGGGCTTCCCAATTCCCATTGTCTGGCCAGCACTGCCAGGCATGGGTTTACAGATAGACAGTGCTGTGCTTGGCATTTTCCCCCCTCTTTTCCCCTCCAGCTGCTGGAGGATTGAACTCAGGTTCTCACGCTTGTGTGGCCAAGCACTTTGACTAACTGAATTTCCTCCACAGCTCCAGCTTTCTTTTCCTGGGTCCTTACAGACAATAGTCTGGCTTGCGGAAGTCTGCAGTTGCTGCCAAGGTGGTGACCAGTTGGGAGTTAGTTCTGTGGGTGTCTGGGTTCAGCTTGATCTACAGCCTTAGGCTTGAGTAAGCAAAGGCCTTCTCTAGGTCTGTGGTGGGTGGTGGTTGGGAAATCTCTCCCTGAGTGTTCTCAGTGCCCCTGGGTGCTGGCCAGGACGGCCCAAGGCGTGTGTGTTCTTACCCTTCAGGCAACTTCCAACCCTAAAGAGCCCTGGAGGGCTATGGTGGTCCTCTTAGGTCTAGTTTTGTGACTTCAGTCTTTGATGCAGTGCTGGGGGAATAGACAGTCACAGCAGAGGGGACTTCTGGATGTCAGGAGTCCCAGCCCTTGGACTGGGGGGATTGGCACGGGCAGGGACGCTCAGAGAGTTCTAGCTGCTAATGTACGGGATTCTTTTTATTTTGTTTTGACTTTTTGTCTGCTCATTTCTGTTTGCTTTCTTAGTGTATGGAGTGTGTCCCTGTTTATGTGTGTACAGGTGTGCGTGAATGTGTGTGGAGGCCAGAAGTCAATGCTAGGTGTCCTCAGTTGCTGTGTGGGCCACACTGGCTGGCCAGCGAGTGTCTCTGTCTTCATAGTGCTGGCATTATAGGCGTGTACCATCAGGCCCACCTTTGACATTCAGGGGAGCGAACTCAGGTTTTCATGCAAAGCAGGTGTTACCTCCCAAAGTATAGATTTTAATTAAATTTTTTATGTGTATAAGTGTTTTGCCTCCTTGTATGCATTATGTACTACTTGTATGTCTGGTGCCTACAGAGGGCAGAAAGGGCATAGGATCCCCTGGAATTGGAGTTACAGATGATTGTGAGCTACCATGTGGATTCTGGGAATTAAACTTATGCCCTCTGGAAGAGCAGCCAGTGCTCCTAACTGCTGAGCCATCTTGCAACCTCCAGAGCATAGGTTTGGAAGCAGATGTCTGAACAGAAAGGGGATGGGGTATAGGTGAGCCTGGTCGGAGCCAGCCGCTCAGGTGTGTCCATGGGAATACCAGGCACAGTGACTTCTCATGGCCCTGGGCATCTTTACCAGCATCCCGAGGCAGTGCTGTCCTCTGAGGTGGCTCCAGTGTCTGGTGTGGCCTGGCATTTCTGGATCTTTCTGGAACTTAGCATTCTGGGGTGGCCTGCCCTACTTTTGAAGATGGTCCCATTCAGGTCTGAGATACTAACAGGGCAGGTATGGAGTGTCATGATGGTGAAAGGTCATAGGAATGAATTCTTGAAAACCACAGTGGACCTACTGCTACTCAACAGCTAACAGTACTTGCTGCCAAGCCCGATGATCTAGTCTGATCCCTGAGACCCAGTGGGGAGGAAGGAGAGAAACTGACTCCTGCAAGGTGTCCTCCACCCTCCACACGTTTGACATGACATGCACCCCCACTCCACAAATAAATAAAATATAATTAAGAGAAACATAACTGCCCAGCGTTTGAGATTCACTGGACTGGTTCTCTGTAGACATGGACTGGATTAGTGGCTGTAGGACCCTTGGGGCTGTCCCCTTAGGCCCATGGCTCTAGGCGTCAGGCCAGGTGAAGCTGGACTGAGTCAGTGACATCGCTGGGGTAGTAGGACCCTGTGAGTCTCCAAGGTGATGACATTTCAGCCATTCTTATTCTCTTCTCCTTGAACTTGAAGGAGTGTCACCTTGCACGTCACCTGTGCTGACTTAGTGATGAGCGGGACTCTACCTTCCCAACTGGCTGAGATTTTCACAACACCCTGGAGTCAGGTAAAGATAGGCAGCAGAATGACCCCTGCTCATGGCCCTGTCTCTCGTTTGACTCCCAGGAAGGGGCCTGAGAGTTTGCTGACTGCTGGGCACTCTCTCCTTTCCCCTGACAAGACGAAGCAAGACACTCTTCCATCCTGCACCCCACCTGCCTCCCGCAGCTGCACAGGTGCCTGTGGTCTGACAGCGCCTCGGCCTGACCTGGCTCATGTGTGCTGAGGGCTGGGTAAGCTGCTCGTTCTTGCTTTCTATGTGGGACAGGCTGCCCCTTGTAAGTTACGCTCTTCCATCCGTACACATGGATCCCTGGGGCTCTGCTGACTGCGCTCCGTGCTTCTCCTTGAGGATAGATGGGTTGCGGTAATGGGTGACTTACCCAAGAACAGGTTGCAGCTCACACAAGACACATGGCTGCTTGTGAGGGAACAGAAGCCATGTCACAGAGGATTGTGGGGAGGAGCCCTTTGGGTGGGCTTTCTGGATAAATCACGTGCCAGTTGCACAGCCTGAGATAACAGACAGACCATGGTCCTCCCTCAGCCCTGGCGGCCTCCCCTGCAAAGTGTCTCTGTGTTTCAGGCCACACAGAGGCTCTCTCCTAGGGCTGATGGCCGCCCTTCACACTACTCCAGACTCCCGAGCTACCCAGCTGGAGCCTGCAGAAGATGGGTCAAAATGCGATGCTGACCCTGACGAGGATGGGGATGAGGAGGAGAAGGGGAGAGAGGAGGCACAGGGGGAGGAAAAAGCAGAAGAGGTAGTAGTGGAAGAGGAGGAAGTGGCCACACAGTTCCAGGAGGTGGAGGTGGAGGCTAACTCAGAGGACGCTGCTGGTGCCGACAGTGTGGAGGAGGGGCTGGCAAAGGAGCAGAGGCTGAGCTTGGGGACCCAGGAGCAGCTAAGCAACGGTGGTGATGTCAAGTCGCCAGTCCTTCAAGGGAAAGGTAGGAACAAGGATCCCACCGCTGCTGGGGGAAGGAAGAGGCTGGGGTCATGAGGGTGGGACTGGACCTGGGCCTAAAGTATGGGAGTAGCCGGGAGTACCACCCTGCTTGCCTGCGAGGCGCCACCGGCCCTAAACAATCTTCCTCTCAGCCCTGCAGGCCTCCCAGGTCTCACCTGCTATTCAGAATGAAGATCCAGAGGAAGAGGAGGAAGAGGAGGATGATGAGCATTTCCTGACTCAGGTGAACTGCGTATACACTGATCGGCCATGGTCTTGTGGCTCTTGAGTGAGGACAAGGCTTTCGTTTCCAGGACCCGGGTTTATACAGTTCTGTTCTCCCAGGTCTCTGGCCCTTCCCAGGCCATTACGTTGTTCTGAGTACTCTGGCTACCTCCCACTCAACTGTACTGGGCGTGGCTGTCCCCAGCCCACTCCCAAGTCAGGTTGGAGTCTTCTAGAATGACTGTCCCCTCCTGGGGTCTGTTTTCCTGCTATTGGGTCAGACATCAGTACCCACACTCAGTTTAGTTGGTACCACCCGTCCATCACTAACCTGTCAATATAGCCAAGGTATTTGCCAGGACTAGTCTGTGTGACACAGGAGGGGCCATGGTAAGAGGGGCCTGCCCTCTGAGTTTGATGGGTAGGAAATGGGTCCCTGTCACAGGGTGAGAGGCCTGAGAGACTGTTGTCCCATCAATAATGGGGTGCTGGGCCATGTCCCCACTATGTTTTCTTATCTCTTGGGGGTGTCGGAGAGAGAGCGTTCCCTCATCCTCTCTCCTGGGGCTCTATGTGCTTCAGGGGCTGGTGACTTTTGAAGATGTGGCTATGTACTTCACTTTGGAGGAGTGGGAGAGGCTGGATGTGGACCAGAGAGACCTCTACCGGGAAGTAATGCAGGAGAACTATGGGATCCTGGTCTCCTTGGGTAAGGAAGGACCCCGAGGCAGTCTGCGGTGAGATCTGTGGGGGCCCAGCTGTCGAAGAGCGCACTTGTTGGTTTTGGAGCAGTCAGCCCATTCTGGCCTCTGGGTTCGGAGGTCCAAACCAGGTGGAGACATGCTATGAAGCTGGTGGTCCACTCTGGCCTCTTAGCTGCACAAGCCCCAGAAGCCTTTAGGTGGGAGGAGAAAGTGTGGGTATCCTACTGGTGTGGGTGTGGAAAGCAGGGCTTCCAGGGTGGATCGTAGGATCTCTCAGAGCAGAGATGGGAAGGGCTGGTCCTCGAAGGGTAAAAAGCAAAAGATTTGGGTGTGGACAGGGATAGTCTGGACTCCATTGGGACAGCGACCATCTTTCCCTCTCCTGGGTAGGATACCCAATTCCCAAGCCGGATCTGATCTTCCACCTCGAACAAGGAGATGAACCTTGGGTCCCAGACAGCCCCCATCCCGAGGAGGGAGACATTGTCACTGGTGTCTACACAGGTAAGTGAGAGTCTTGAGGGGATTCTACTGGCAGGATTGCTCAGGCTGTGTCAGACTTGAGCCTTTACCAAGGCAAGCCCTCTGCCTCCCTGATGCTGCCGGTGCTCATGGGTGTGGGTGGCTGTGAGGAGACAGGAGGACACTGTGTGATGGCCCCTGCTATCACCTCAAGTCCTCAGCTTCACTGAGGTCTAAGGGCCAGTTTGTCCTTAGAGAAAGAATCTTAAGTGGCTTTGTTGTTGTTCTCATCTTGGAATCTGTGAAGTCTTTCAGTTTTGTTTTTCTATAAGTGAGGGGAGTCGGCAAGCTGGCATGGACACCTGCCAGACTGTCGGTGTGGCTTTCCACGTGCAGACTCACCAATTTTCTGACTGCCCCACCCATTTGGCCATTTCTTCATATGGTGCCCTTCAGTCCCTCCACTTCCTCCATAGCCGTCCAGCTTGTTTTTAGAGACAGGGTGTCACTGCTGTCTGAAGCTCCCCAATCGAGTGAGCTTGCTGGCTAGTGAGCTCCGGGGATCTGCCCATCTCTGCCCCTCCAGTGAGTGTGCGGCCACTTTGGTTTGGTTTCTGTATGTGTGAGTTGGGGATTTAACTCAGACGTTCAGATTCTGATCTGGGTGAGCACTTTCAAGCCTCCGGGAGAGTTCTGAGGTGATATGGATAGAAGGCATTGACATGTGGACTTCTCTGGGTGCCTCACACTGGCTCAGGCTCTGCCCATTCAACTCTGAGCCCCACTTTATTCATATGGAGAACAGAGTGTGAACTAAATCCACAGATTCCGGCCTGAGCATGCTGGATTCCTGAATGTGCCGTGGGGTCTGTGAGTGATGGAGGCCCTTGCCTGGGGGTGTCCCTCTTGAAGCTGGGGTGTTGTTAGCCCAGGGTGGGACATTGAACTAATTTGCAGTTATCATAGATGTATATTAAAATGAGAAGAGGAAAACCTTACTCTGGTAACATGCCTGTGCGCCATCAGTAGCTCAGTGAGGGGCAGCGAGGACTCCTTAGCCTTTCCCACGAGGCCCAGAAGTAGGTAGAGTTGCTTGAGGACCAAGTGGGAGGTGTGGTCCATTCATAGACACATTCAGAGAAACCGCTTAGAGAGAGCAGGGCACAGGCCAACAGTGGCCACCCTCGAGTGTAGGTTCAAGATGCGCCGTCGTGTGCCATTCTCTCGAAGGGTCCTTTTTAGTGCAGGTGACACCAGATGACAGGTGACATGTGGCTGTGCACCTGGATGGGGCTTGAACGCTCCTTGAGAGGACTAGTTAACTGGGCCAGTGGCTCTGTGCCTTCTGTGACAAGCCATGGTGTTGAGGCTGTAGGCCTGAGATGTTCCTCAGCCTGGCCCCATCTGCAGACAGTCAGTACAGGACCCATGAACATCTTTTAAAACGTTTTATCTTAAGCCCAGTGCTCAGGAAGCAAAGGCAGGTGAATCTCAGTTTGATGCTAGGCAGGGCTACATAGGGAGACCCTGTCTCAAGCATAACAAAACCCTTTATGTGTGAGGTCAGAGGTCAGTCCTCAGCATCTGCCTTGTCTGAGAGAGGGTGCCTTTATTTCCCAACACTACATAGGTCCCACTAGTGACCTGGGAGCTTTGTGGGGAGGGGGGTCTCCTGTCCCTCATAGGATGCCTGGGTTAGACTCGTGCTACAGTGTCTGGCTTTCCACTGGCTCTAGGGATTTGAACTCAGGTTGTCATACTTGCAAACACGTTACTCACTGAGCTATCCCCAGGTCATGTCTTTGATGTGTCACATGACTGCCCACAGGGGATGCAGATGGTGGGATCTGGGAGAGGCACTGGCACAGGGCAGCTCTCGGGTCTTCTGAGGACAGCCAGCGGCTGAGTGTCTGCCTCCCTTCTCACCCTGCCTGGCCTTTCATTCGTCTCTGTCCAGCAGTGCCACCTGGGCCCTGAGAGCGGCCGAGTCTGGCAGGACAGATTCTAACTGTCCCAAGACTGGCCATCTGGACTTCTAAATCAGCCTTGTTAGACAAGGCTCTAATTTGCCCTCCTCTGCCCCTTGTGAGCTCAGCTGGACACGATGTGTGGGCTCCCAGGCACATTCTTCACTCAGGTGTTGCCATCTTCTGTGTGATACTGAGTCCCACTTGCCCTCTTGCACTCTGTATCCTAGCAACCCTGGCCACCAATTTCTAATCTTCACTTCAGCAGTGTCTGAACCAGCTCACCCTCCTGACCCAGCTTCCATCCCATATGGTCCTAGAGAGACCCCTGCCCCTGGCTTAACCCTGTTTCCTGCCTCCAGTCTGCACCCGAGCAGAGAATCCAGCTGGAGAAGGCATGCCCTGAGGGCCACTGCTCTGGCTCCCCGTGTCTGTGATCGCCTGGCCCTTGGCTCTGGGACAGATCCTCCCCTAGCAATTGTCCTTTCAGCAGCCTCCAGAGGCTGTGCTGCCCAGAGCAGTACCCGGTCCTGTGGGGCCATCCCCACTCCCTCTGCTGAGGCCTCTACCCCTTTTCCTTTCTTGGTATGCGTATACAGGCGTGCGTGGAGGCCGGAGGTCAACATGGGAGCGGTCCCCTTGTTGAGGCTTTGGTTTCGCACTGGAATCTGGGGCTTGATGGTTAGGCTGGCTGGCCAGCGAGCCCCAGGAGTCCACCCAAGCATGCACTACTGCACCAGGCTTTTCACGTGGGTGCTGGGAAGTGAACTCAGGTGACTGTACTTATGTGGCAAGTGTCTACCCAGCCCTGTTTCTGAAAGGGAAGGATAGGAAGAAACACACCACTGAGGACTGAACCAGCTTACACATTGATGTTTAACAGATGGTGATGTAGTTTAAGAGGCAGTCAGACTCCAATAACCAGCAAGTGAGCACAGCCAGTGGGTCTGGAGCCCCAGATGTGATCCTTCCTAAGGAAGACTGATCTCAAAGTGCACACTGCCAACCTGCGGACAGCTGGGATCCATCTGGGCAGACACAGCAAGTACCAGTTATCTAGTAGCATAGATGAGCACAGGCAAGGGAGAGTGGCAAGGGGAAAGGGCTCTAAGCCAGGAGCAGGGCATGGACACCCCCAGCAGGCAGAGTCTGACGCACAGCTGTGAACAACTAGGAACCGTAGAGGGTCTCTTGGAGTTTCACTTAGCCATGCCCTGGAGGAAACCTGGATAGTAGAGTCCTCTGGTCCTAGCCAGGCACAAGGCGCTAAGCCCTGTCGTTTTTAGGTTACTGGGCTTAGTGCAGGTAGAAGGGAAGAAGTAAGGGAATGTCTGGCAGAGAGGCTGGCTTCTTAGCATCTGGGACAAAGGGGCTGACAGGTATCCAAGTGCTGGAGGCTCTGATGGGGTGAGGGAATGCTTACTCCTCCCAAATCCCCGTGACAAAGGCAGGCCTTGGGTCCTCTTAATACTTGGGCCTTGGTGCTGAATCCATACATTACTCATGAGGACATCAAGGCCAAAGCGTTGGTCTCTTAGAGGCCACTCACCAGCAACAAGGGGCAGCCCAGAGCCCATCCTAGGAGAAAGGCCGCCTGCTTCTAGACACGTCAGCGTGGCCAGCACTGCACAGAGGGCAGACGCCAGTGTAGAAGCTGGCTCCCTTCCCAGGCTGCAGTTCAGACACCTTCCTGGCAACCCTCAGTGAGGCTGCCCATATCCATAGACTTGGGCATCCTTTTGGTATGCCTCCTCCCTTGGGGACTGTCACCAATACAGGAAGGAACTCTGCCTGAGCTCATCTTCAGTTTCTGGGTCTAGGTGGAGATTTGGGGGGAGCATGAAGACAGGTACAGGTATTACTCGGGGACCTCAGACCTGGTTGTCAATGGAAAGAAAATGGCACCTTGATTGGGGACCCCTGTGCCTGCCATGCCTTGTCAGGATCCCTGGTTTTCTGTAACTGCTGACAGGCTGCCTCTAAGACAGCCAGCTTCCCCCCTCCATCCCCACTCCCCAGCCTTAGCCTTGGAGGGGATGGTCCTGTGCAGGGTCCCTGGAGTAAAGGAGCTGGGTCAAGGGCCCAGCTTGGCCTGTGCAGTTCTGGGGGGAATCCAACAAATTGGGGACTTAAGCCATGGGAGATCCCCTGGGGTGGATCGCAGTGGAACAAGCTAGTTTTGAGCTTATAAATCCCCAGCGTTATGCTTCAAAGGGACAAATCTGTAATACTCACACTGACAGCCACCATGAGAGAGAGAGAGAGTGATGTTTGCAGAAATGGGGGAAGCTGTGACAGCCCGCAATCCCAAGGGTTTCAGCTTCCTGCCCTGGCCCTCTTATCTTTCCCGAAACCTTCACCAGAGTCCGGGTGTCTCTAGCTCAGGACGTGGGCTGTAAAGATGTCCTTGTGGCAATGCTGTGTGACTTGTCTAGACAGTAGACTCTGAGCCCTGCCTCTTCCTGGAGGCCTAATCACCCTCACCCGTGGTCGGATCTCTGGGCAAACATTGGGTGCAAGGAGCCCCCATCCCTACTTCACTCCCCAGGGGTCTGGGTGTGACCCTCAGGGCCACCTGTTTGACTGCTGCCCTCCCCACTTCCTTCTAGCTGTGTAGAACATACCACACCCTCTGGGTTTGAGTGTCAATTCTCACAGCAGGCCTCTGGATCCTCACCTGAGGCTGACAGACTTTGGCTCTGTGTAAAGGCTGTTCCTCCAGATGGCACACTGCATGGTTATACCTGTAAACTTTGAGCAAACACCTTGAATCCAGGAATGAGGAACTAAAGCTGGTCTCCTTTAGGGTTCTCCCCTAGAAGCTCAGCAGCTTCCTGAGGTCTCACATGGGGTGGAGCCAGCTGACTTCTCCAGGGCTAGGGGTGGGGCTTCACCCTGCATCACCGGTGGCCTCCCTCACATCACTGAGCAGCAGCCATGCCAGCTCCAGAGGCAGTAGTGAGATCCCCAGGCCTTTTTCACGTAGTGGACTCCTCACAACAGCAGCTGTCCCTGCTGTTCCCAGACTCTGAAGCTCCTGGAGAGTCCTGGAGTCCAGGGGGTCGTATCCGTCCCCTACCATCAGCTTCCCCTGATTTCCTTGGGCTCTAGTTAAAAACTACACAAGCCTCTCACCAGAGCCCTGGGGATGTCTTTGTCAGCCAGCTTCTCTCTGCCCCAGGGCTGCTCCTGCCACCCCAGGTTTGGAAAGTTCTGGCTGAACAAAGAAGGGCAGCCAGCCAGCAAGCAACAGGGCCTCCGTCACTTCTTGTCCCTCTGGTGGCCACGTTGGCAGCTAGAGGTAAACTCAGCTTAAGAAATTTTCCATCTAAAACGTCTAAATTATATATTACTAGAATAGTGGGCGATTTAGTGTTACAGACTAAGCAAAAATAAAGTGCCCCGTTTTCTTGTTCTTTCATATGAACAGCCTGTGTATTCACATCTGTAGTTAGGCCCTCACCATTTTCTCTGCTTCATGGATGTGGCACTATGCTGTCTTCCCCAGTGAATGACACTAGTATACAGAACTTGGGCTGATGGAGGGCGAGACTTGACATGTGAAGCCAGCCCTGGTTTTTGAGACTTTCTGGCCCAGAACTTTGCCCTCAGAATCAAGTGGATGGGAGCTGAGGTGCTCTAACACCCGGACACTGTGGTGCAGGCGGTGTCCCTGGTCTCCTGGGTGTATCGTGGTGGCTCTGTCTACAGGCTCACTTCCTGAACAGGGCAGCCCTACAGACTTGATTCTAGAGCCCACACCATCCCCAGGAGGGCAGAAGAATGAGCCAGGGGTGTATCTCAGTGGAGGGGCCCGTGGCAGAAAGTTCCAGGAGTGCTCACAGTACACACAATCTCAGGTGCCCTGGGGTTTCTCAAATGCAGAGCTCAGAAAGTGAAGCCTGCCTGGGGTGACCCCACAGCAGGGGGAGGAACTCAAGACCCCAAATACACAGCTCCCAGGGCCTCGTTAAGGTGAGAGCCCAGAGGCTCTTCCGCGGCTAGCAGTTCCTGATTCTGCTGTCTAGAGTGGAAGAGAACCCCTGGCCACTGGTAAAGGCAAGGAGAGGGGACTTACTGAGGAGTAAGTTCCACAGAGGCGGGTCCTCCTGGCAGAGACATGGCTGGATGTGCCATGCTGGGTGTCTGGGGACTGCAGTGCCCCAGGTTTCACTCTGCACAAGTTTATCTGCTGATAAAACACCCACTTTGCAGGCTCCCGTCCTCCACAGAGTGACAAGCCCTAGAGAGACCCTGGCTCTCCTGGCCAGGTGTGCATGTTAGGCCTCCTCACTGGGGGAGGGGAGGCCAGCGGCTTTCCTGCCTTGGAGTTGGCCAGTACTAGCTATTGCATGCACCACCTCTGACTTGACTGAAGCAGGTCTCTTTTGTTTATTCCAGTTTTCTTGCCAAGCTCCTGTGCCCTCACCCTCTTGTCTCTTCACCTTCAGGAGCCTGGTTCTGGAACGATGACATAGAGGACCATGAGGAGGAAGACGATGAGGACTTCCTTGCTGAAATGGCAGAGGAGGAGAACGAGCCCCCAGGGCTGTGGTCTGCTGCCTATGGTGTGGGGGACGTGCCTGGGACTTGGGGTCCCGACGATTCAGATTCCGTTCAGACTCCAGACGGTTGGGGACCCAGCCCAGGCAGCCTCGGTATCCTGGCTGAGGAGGTTGAAGCTAAACATTTCCTGTCTGGCCGGGAGCCTGGGGAGAATTTTCTGGCGCCCTGGACATTTCCCGCAGCAGCTGTCCCCATCGGATGTCCGGAGACCACTTGCGACGTGTGCGGTAAAGTGTTCCTTCACCGTTCGCGCCTGGCCAAGCACCAGCGTTACCATGCGGCGGTTAAGCCCTTCGGCTGCGAGGAGTGTGGCAAGGGCTTTGTGTACCGTTCGCACCTGGCCATCCACCAGCGCACTCATACCGGCGAGAAGCCCTTCCCGTGCCCGGACTGTGGCAAGCGCTTCGTCTACAAGTCGCACCTGGTCACGCACCGGCGCATCCACACGGGCGAGCGGCCCTACCGCTGCGCCTTCTGCGGCGCGGGCTTCGGGCGGCGCTCCTACTTGGTAACCCACCAACGTACGCACACGGGCGAGAGGCCCTACCCGTGCTTACACTGCGGCCGTAGCTTCAGCCAGAGCTCAGCGCTCGCTCGCCACCAGGCTGTGCACACCGCCGATCGTCCTCACTGCTGCCCGGACTGCGGCCAGGCCTTCCGCCTGCGCGCTGACTTCCAGCGGCACCGGCGCGGCGGCTGCACGGAACCCGGCAGTGGCGAGGGTGCGGGGATGGCTCCCCACGAGATAGAGATGGCAATAGCAGCTGTAGCCACAGCGGAGCCAGAAGAACTGGAGGCCAGGCCCGAGGAGACCAAAGAGCCCGGGACTGATGTGGCAGACGGAGACACAGAGGCTGAAGCCAGAGAGGACGAGGAGGTGGTAGCTGCGGCGGCAGAGGCGACGGTCCCCGACAGCAAGAAGGACCCTGAGCCAGACAGGCCGTTCCGTGAGATGGGCAACGGCCTGAGTGGGGGCGAAGGGCCTTCCTCGCACCCGCTCGGCTTCCATTTTCCCATGCACCCCAAGTCTTGGCTGCATCCAGGCAGCTTCCCCATACTGGGGTTCCCCGAGTTCTCCGAACGGCTGCAGGTCGACGGGCGTCATCTCTCCCGCTCCCTGGGCCCCCCGCTGTCCCTGGAGGGTGCGGGGCTGGCTTGTGACCCGTTCCGTAGCACGGGCCCCGGAGTCGGGACGGATGGTGGCTTGCGAGCGTTCGCGCCCACCGTGGGGTCGCTGCTGGCGGAGCCCGCGCCCGCCGCGATGGCAGAGGAGGAAAGCCCGTGGATCTGCTCCGACTGCGGCAAGACGTTCGGGCGGCGCGCGGCGCTAGCCAAGCACCAGCGCTACCATGCGGGCGAGCGGCCGCACCGCTGCGCCGACTGCGGCAAAAGCTTCGTGTACGGCTCGCACCTGGCGCGCCACCGGCGCACGCACACGGGCGAGCGGCCATTCCCGTGCCCGGAGTGCGGCGCTCGCTTCGCACGCGGCTCGCACCTGGCGGCGCACGTGCGCGGGCACACGGGCGAGAAGCCGTTCGTGTGCGGCGTGTGCGGGGCGGGCTTCAGCCGGCGCGCGCATCTCACCGCGCACGGGCGCGCGCACACGGGCGAGCGGCCCTACGCGTGCGGCGAGTGCGGCCGACGCTTCGGGCAGAGCGCGGCGCTGACCCGGCACCAGTGGGCGCACGCCGAGGAGAAGCCGCACCGCTGCCCTGACTGCGGCAAGGGCTTCGGCCACAGCTCGGACTTCAAGCGGCACCGGCGCACGCACACGGGCGAGAAGCCGTTCCGCTGCGCCGACTGCGGCCGAGGCTTCGCGCAGCGCTCCAACCTCGCCAAGCACCGACGCGGCCACACGGGCGAGCGGCCCTTTCCCTGCCCCGAGTGTGGCAAGCGTTTCTCCCAGCGATCGGTGCTCGTGACGCATCAGCGCACGCACACGGGGGAGCGGCCCTACGCGTGTGCCAACTGCGGCCGGCGCTTCTCACAGAGCTCGCATCTGCTCACGCACATGAAGACGCACCGCGGGCAGGCGGGCACACAGATGCAGAACACCGCCGCCAAGGCCCAGGCGCCTGCCAAGACGCCGCCGCCCCCACCGCCCCCGGGCTCGGGCACCGGGTCAGGAACGCTGCTCGAGTTCGCCGGCGGAACCAGCTTCGGCTCCGATCCTGCCGCGTTCGCTGGGCCCTCGGGTGCCTTTGAGGAGAGCGTCTTGTGAGGCTGGTCGAAGCGCGCGGAGCCCTCCCGCTCTCGAGGCGGGCTGAGGATTCCCAATCTTGGGTGCTCTTGGGCCCTAACGCCCCGAGCTTCAGATCTCGCTTGGGTGCGCACAGGCTGCCACCCTGGTCAAGAGCGCCCATCCCTGGATCTGTGCTGCAGAGTTAGTGGGCAAAGCCAATTCGTTCATCACGGATTCAGATTCAGGTGGCCCGTAGGGTCAGTGGCTTAGGAGTCTGTCACTAGGCTTTCTGAGGAGTGATGAGGAAGCCCTATCATTGGGAGAGGGTGAGAGAGGTCATCCAGCTGCATCCGGGTTTCTTGGAGGGTTTGGCTTCTTCTCAGTCTCCTTAGGAGTTTCAGGGACCGTCTTCCGGTCACTCGGGTGTGTCCAGTAAGTTTTAAGAACATGGTTCATGGCAGGCAGGAGCCTCACTAGGTTTTGGGGGGATGGAGATGTGAACAGGGGAAGCTTTTGTTCTATCGACTGGGTATTTGTTTCCATCTTTGTATGGCCTGAAAACTGGGGAGGTGTTGAAAAAGCAAGATACCAAATGCGTAATCAGGTTGCGGATGTTGGCTAGGTCCCCAGGGAGTTGGAAGCCTTATTTGAGAATCCTTACTCCAACCCCATCGAACACTGGCTACAAGGTGCGTTTTGGTAGTGGAATCCCCTCCAAGCTTGTTGGTGCTCTATAGAGTGGCTGCAAGCGGCACACATGGACATCTTTGGAGTGCCTGGTGTGGGCTCGTACAGACCTGGTCTCCAGACGAGTTCCCTAGCAGCGCCCTCCGCCGGAGCAGGTAGCTGCGGAGCCCTGTGCTCAGCCTTTCACAGCACTGGGATGGGTTCTGGAAACTTACCCTCAGCTTATAATAAGGGCCCTTTATCCTCTGCAAGACTCTTAACTCTGCTGTAATCACCGTACACTAGAAGCAGGTAGCGTTCCTGCCGTGGGTGGGTCCATGCTTACAGAGTGATTGGTGGTTTGCACAGTGGTTGTCCACCTAAGGTATCATGTGGACCTGAGCTCACAACTTACTATGCAAGGCTCTTGCACAGTGGATAGCTAACTCTCCAGCCTGGACTGCTGGCGTCTAAGATGTAGCACACACAAGCCCCTCCCACCCTCCATGAATTCTGGGCCAGTGTGACTGGGGGCTAAAGAAGAGAGATTTCCACCCAACTGCGTTCCCTTTTAGACCTAGATCCTTTGTTGTAGTGTAGACACGCCCTTGGAGCCCAAGAGCTAACGTGCAGGCTGCTAGGTGCTGGGTGGGTAGTCCATGGGTGGGAGGAGCTGGGGTGGTGAGGGTCAGAAGGTAGCCTGGCCAGGTGACGTGAAGTGGGAAGGCATGGGTCCTGATTGCTCAGCAGTGGTCTCTCTGTCCCATTTTTTTATGCTCTTCCCATGTCTTCTGGGACATGAACTTCAGAAAAAGCCAGGGCAGGGTGCACTGGCGGGGCACCAAAACCATTCCTCTTATTCCCCAGCGGTTTCCACTCTGCCCCTCTGCTGTGGGCAGGAGGACCTAGCTTTAATAAAGATGAAGAAACAAGCTTTGGGACTGGACTCTGCTTTTGCCCCACCTTGGTTCCATCGTGTCCATCTCTTTTCTGACTTGTTTTCCCCTTCTAGAAGCACCTGGCACATCATGGATTTGGCCTGTGTCAACCCCTCCTTCCTGGGATACCTCACACTGCCACACATGGGACATGACGGGGATTCATTCAGCTAACCCGAGTTTAAAGAGAGGGCCTGATCTTTCTCAGAGTGCAGCCCCATGCTTTGGCCTTTCCTCAGGGGTTCCAGTACTGTGCTGTTTATCTACTCCAAAGCCACAAAGGCATGGCCATCCCCAGGAGTTCCCAGACAACTCCCTTTAACCTGGCTTTTTCTTATTCGGTCTCTGTGATAGGATTTTTTCCCAATGGGTTTGAGAATATGCAGATGTGATTTGAGGCTTCAGAATAAAGGAAACCAGTATCTCCATTAAAACAAGCAGTTGGGCAGGGGATGTAGCCCAGTGGGTACAGTGCTTGCCCAGCATTCAGCTTTTCATCCCCAGAACCCCACAAACCAGGCATGGCAGAGCATGCCTGTCATGTCAGCATTTGGGGAGACTACCTCAAACAAACAAACAAAAAATACCCCGGATTTTAGGAGGTAGATGTAAGGATGGAGAAGACATAAGGATGGATGACCACTCAGATCTTAGCCTACTGAGAAAGGCCAAGCAATTCTTTGATAAAGCTTACCATTGATGTGCAGCTGGAGTTCTTTTGTTGTGGGGTAAGGAATCCCCAATCCAACAACTGCCTCAAAGTCTTTATTACCTGTGAAATGTGACCAACCAAAGGTGACAGTTGGAGGATCATCATGTCTGGGCATTCTCTCCTCTGCCTACCTGTTTTTATCTTTCTCACGTCCCTGTTTTCTCAGCCTTTTTTTTTTTTTACTTTATCTCTATTTTACCTATTTAGACTCTGCTCTCGCTCTCTTTCCTCCCCCCTCTTAATTTTCTGTTTATGTAATAAAGTGGTTTTAGATTTTTAGTTATATCAAAGTTTTATCTTCCTTGTTCATTATTTCTCTCCAGATTTTAAGTTATATATGAATTGTGAAACCTCCAACAGTATGAAAATATCAAGTTTATCTTCATGTCCCTAACAAGACTCATCCCATCCAATACCTGGGCTCCTGTTCATACGCACATGTCTATATGGAAACAGTTCAGGACAAAAACATACTTTAGATACCGTTCAGCAGCTTGTTTTTTTCCCCACCTCAAAGCGTACCGAGTACAGTTGTGCATGGTGACACATAATGCCTGTATCCTAACACTTGGGAGGCAGTGGAGGAAGATCTCAGGTTCTAAGTTCCAGAGTGTGTTGTAGTCTAAACAACAGGAGGTCAAAGAGATGGCTCAGCAGTTAAGAGCACTGGCTGCTCTTCCAAAGGACCTGGGTCCCATTCCAGCACCCACATGGCAGCTTACAACTGTCTTCAACTCCTGGCTCTGCAGACACAGGGAACGTATGTGGCGCACTGAGCACCCCCCCACACACACACAAAAGCGACAGACAACTTATGCTGAATTTGCTTCATCCACATTCCTTTCTACTTTCCCCATCCCACACGTTTTTCATTTCACCTGTTACAATTAGAACATGTGTCTCTTGGTTTTTTCTTTTGTTTTTAATTTGTGTGGCTAGACAGACAGCTCGGTAGTTAAGAGCACTGGTCACTCTTCCAGAGGAACCAGATTCGGTTCCCAGCACCCGTATGACTCACGGTCAGGTGTAACTCTGGTTTTAGAAGATCTGACCTCTCTTCTGACCTCTGAGGGCTCCTGTATACATTATTCAAACATAAAAATTTAGAAATTTTGTATGTATATGAAAATGTGTGCAGGCATGTGCATGCAGGCTTGAGGCTGATGGTAGGTAGCTCCAGTTACTTTCCACCTATTTTTTTGAGACAGGGTCTTTCACTAAAGCTCTCCAATTTGCTGGCAGGCTAGTGAACCCCAGGGGTCCTCCTGTCTCCCCAGCTTGGGGAACAAACAGATTCATGTTTGCATGGCAAACACTTTATCAACTGAGCTGTTTTTCCAGAACCTTGACTGTTTCTCTAAAAGGTTGTATAGAAGGGAAAGGCTTTGCTAGACTCCAATTCAGGTGCTCTCCAGTGCCCGTCTGTTACTCTTTCCTAAACTGCTTCAGCTGCTCTGTAACCCTTGCATCTAGGCCATCTCCAGCTTCAGGTGGCAGCAACAAGCCCATTGGCTGTGCAAGCCTATCATTTCCACAAAGCATCATAAACTTTAATCCAACGGGGGGGGAGGAGGGGAGCGCCGCTGGAGAGATGCTCACCTGCTAACACTTACCGCTATTGCAGAGAACCCAGGTTCAATTCCCAGCAGTCAGGTGGTGGCTAACAATCATGTGTAACTCTAGTCCCAGGGGACCCCAAAATCTTCACTCGCACGGGCTTCTGCCCGCATAGTGTGCACACATACACTCAGGTGTGCACACACATAACATAAATGGATTTTTAAAAATCCAATGGATGGATTTTGCTTTTTCCATTTTCACGTGAGCGTGTGTGTTTGTAAGTTCGTAGTAACACATTTGGGGTTGTGCACACAGGTAAGCCAGAATCGATGTCTGGAATGGTCTCTTCGACATCACTCAGGCAGGCTCTCTCCCACTGTTTTGGCTAGCCAGCCTGCTCCGTGGATCTCGTCTCTGCCTGCTGAGGCTGGAATTCCAGGTGGGCCACCACGTGCTCTTGCATTTAAATGGGTTTTGAGGACCTGCACTCTGTTCTACTTGCAGAGCAAGTGCCTTAGCCACTGAGATCTCTCTCCTGTCCAATTTGTTTTACCACCCTTTGAGGTCTGAAGAGGGGTCAGATCCCCTGAAACCAGAGTTACAGATGGTTGTGAGCCATAGCTATGTGGTAAATTTCCTTGTACATTTAAAGCAGAAGCACTCTATAAAGCTTGCCATCATTTGGGGAGGACAGTCATGTGACTTCCTGGCTAGAGCTGGACTGCAGCTAGGTGAAGAGATGACAGGAATGAAGAAGGGTACATACCATGCACACACAATGGTCCTGGTGGTAGCACATCTTCACTGTTTCTTTACATGAGTATTGTGGGTTGAGGAGATGGCTCAGTCAGTGACGTGCCTCTTGTACAAGCAGGAAGACCTGGGTTCTGATCTTTGAAATCCGTGCACAATGATATATGCCTGTAACCCAAGTTATGGGGGTTGGGAGTAGACAGGTGGATCCCTGAAACTCACTGGCCAGCCAATTTAGGTCCAGTGAGACCTGACTCAGAAAATGATGGAGAAACACCGAGCATCCACCTTGGGCACACACCACCAGACACACACAAATGTACATTGTGTCATCAAGTTATGACATAATTGTGGGAAATTCGTGTGTGGATGTGGCTGTTTATTCCAGGCTGGCCTGGGCCTCTTAATTGTCCTGCCTCCAATCTTCCAAGTGCTGGGAATACAGGCATACAGCACCATGCTTGCTGTAGTTACCATTTCAACAAATATACTACCAACTTTTTGTCCCAATACCTAACTAAACCACCTACCAGACTTTAAATTTTTGTTACGAGGTATACTCAGTATTATACAAGGACATGGGGAGTGGGAAGAGATGGGCTACCAGGATAATTCTCTGTAAGTGAACAAAACTAGATCCTTACCTCACATCACACACTGCCAGATGTAAGCAATGGTCCATGTGCAGGTTAAACTACCCCAAACAAATGCTAATGTATTAGAAAACGGGAGCAGACCTGATGACTGTCTCCAAAAATTAATTCCACAAGTCAAGCTGGTTCTGGTGGCTCACATCTGGACTTCCACACTTGGGATAGTAAGGCAGGATTACCACGAGTTCAAGGCCTGCCAGGGCCACAGTGCAACACTTGTCTCTCAAAACAAGGCCTCAGTTGGCAACATGCCTGCCTCACCATCATGAGGCTGAGTTATTCCCAGAACCCATGTGAAAAAAATCAGCTATGGCTGTGGCTGTTGGTTACGTGCCTGCTGTGCACACGTATTAAAGTCAGCTATGGCTGTGGTTGGTTGTTGGTTACGTGCCTGCTGTGCACACGTATTAAAGTCAGCTATGGCTGTGGTTGTTGGTTACGTGCCTGCTGTGCACACGTATTAAAGTCAGCTATGGCTGTGGCTGGCTGTTGGTTACGTGCCTGCTGTGCACACGTATTAAAGTCAGCTATGGCTGTGGTTGGTTGTTGGTTACGTGCCTGCTGTGCACACGTATTAAAGTCAGCTATGGCTGTGGCTGGCTGTTGGTTACGTGCCTGCTGTGCACACGTATACAAGTCAGCTATGGCTGTGGCTGGCTGTTGGTTACGTGCCTGCTGTGCACACGTATGACTCAAGTTCCATCTCCAGAATCCATGTACAATGGGACCATGGGCACCTGTAACCTCAGCAATGAGGAGCTGGAGACAGGTGGCTCCTGAAGGTGAACTCCAGGCCAGTTAGGGACACCCTGTCTCAGCAAACAAGACATCACCTGAAAGTTGTCCTTGGGCCTCTACACACTTGCGCACACACAAACACATAGGAAAACAATCTTACAGGCCAATGACAGGGCAGCTCAAGGAAGCATATACGTTTGTTTCAAATTCATTTTCAATGTTCAGATTATTTACATACAAATTTACAGATAATAAATCTCTCTATTAACACATCAAAATAAATGATTTAGCTAGAGTCCACTTCCGAATTGCATAACTCCTACAAAGTGTAATGCTACACCAGGTAGACTGTCTTGTTACTAGCAGAATGTTCCTAAGTCAACTGGCTTAGAAACAAATAATCTCTTAGAAAAAGACACAGTCCAGACATGGAGCGGCTCCAGTCAAGCTGGTTTAATGCCTCTGAGACATCAGGTCCCAGTTCATTCTACTTCTGTACGGCTATGACTGTTAAACTGTGGCCACTGCTGGGAGTCACCACATCCAGACAAGGCGATGCTCACTAAGGTTCGGCTTCTTTGAGGAAACCCTTTCAGGAGACAATCTCTGATAACCCCACTAACTCTTTAGACTTGGGTCCTAGGCTACAGGGAAGGATTATCTCTACCAAAGACACTTACCAGGAGTTAGAGCCCATATTCCCAGGAGGGCAAAGAGCCAGGAGGGAGTGACAGACGACAGGGATGATGTCTGCCACACCCTGATTTGTGTGTTCTCACCTCCTAGCGATGGCAGAGTGGAGAACGTTCCCCACACTAGCACAGACACCTGCACAGCCCTGTGCTCTAGGACCTCACATCTACATAAGAAGGAAGTGAGCAAACGCAGAGAGGAAGGAGAATATTCTTAGGTCGTGGCTGTACAGAGTAGTGAGTGCTGAAGCTACTTCTCACCCTTGAAGATTCTGGCTTAATTTAAAATGATCTACTCAGAGTTTCCTATTTTATAGATACATTTCTGTCGTCTTTGCGATAGTTAAAAACAACAAAAAATTGGCTTATTACAGATATAATCCTGTAACAATGATCAAATGCATTTTAAAACACAAGCAACAAGGAAAAAGCATAGTTCATAACTTTCAGATCCTACTCCAGTGAAATGCATATTCAAAAGTAACATGATGGCGAACTTGGTTAGAATAGGCTACCTTACCATACGTTACAAACTAAGGATACGCTCTTCCAAGCTTGATTAAAACAGAACAAACATGATTTCTGTGATGGTTACTAAAATAAGAACAAGAAACCCCAAGTCCTGTGTTCCTAGGGAATTATTTGCCAGTTTAATGCACCAAACTTTGCTAACTCAACTGACATTTATATCCTGTAGTTACAGAGTGTACTTATTTCCAGCAGATTATCTTAATTTTTACAAAACATCCTTAGTACCAGAGTTTCCAAAGGAGTGTATGTCTCACAGTTAAGAGAGTCAACTCCCTGACAGCAGTTTGATTCTTACTCCTGGATAGGCTGCTATGTACTCTTGTCACAACTGTGGTTTCTGCCCTGTGAATTTCCGGATGGATCTACTTCACATGGCCATGTCCTGCTCACTTGTGTGGGCTCTCAAAGTATCCTTTGGTATGTGTAAGTGTGGTTCTAGGACCACCTGGACACCAAAGTCTGCAGTTTATTAAGTCCCTATGTAAAATGCTGTATTTGTGTACAGCCTACATAATCTTCTTATGTATTTTAACTCATCTCTAGATGATCTATAATGTTTAATATCATACAAATGCAATATCAAAGTTGTCATATTGTACAAGAAAAAAAGTCTGTATATATTCAGTACAGATAAAACCTTTTCCCTAAGTAGTTCTGGTCGGTTGAACCCTTGGATATGAAAGCTATGGGTGCTGAGAAACAAATGTACACAGAGCTCCACCTGCTCACTGAGGTGGTCATCTGAGCCCGCTGTAGGGGAGCCTCCCACACAGCTACATGGCACTCCCTCTTCGGTGAACCCTCTGATGGCTATTGAACGCTGACTTGTGGTAGAACTTCTTCCCACACTCGGCGCACTCGTAAGGCTTCTCTCCCGAGTGTGTTCTGTAGTGCACGGTGAGGTAGGACATCCTAGAGAAGGCTTTCCCGCACTCACTGCATTCAAAGGGCTTCTCCCCCGAGTGGATCCGGTGATGGATGGTGAGGTACGACATTTGCGAGAAGCACTTCCCACACTCGTAACACTCATAGGCTTTTTCCCCTGTGTGTGTCCGCTGGTGCCTGTTCAGGGCGGAGTTCTGGCAGAAGGTCTTCCCGCACTCGCTGCACTCGTAGGGCTTCTCCCCTGAGTGGATGCGGTGGTGGATGGTGAGGTAGGACATCTGTGAGAAGAACTTCCCGCATATGTAGCACTCGTAGGGCTTCTCCCCTCTGTGGATTCTCCGGTGCCGGCACAGGGCCGAGTTCTGGTAGAAGGTCTTCCCGCACTCGCTGCACTCGTAGGGCTTCACTCCCGAGTGAGTTCGGTGGTGCACGGTGAGGTAGGACAGCTGTGAGAACAGCTTCCCGCACTCGCTGCACTCGTAAGGCTTCTCTCCGGTGTGCACCCTCTGGTGCCGCATGAGGGCGGAGTTCAAGTAGAAGGTCTTCCCGCACTCGGCACACTCGTAGGGCTTCTCCCCCGAGTGGGTTCTGTAGTGCACGGTCAGGTAGGACAGCCTGGAGAAGAACTTCCCGCACTCGTTGCACTCGTAGGGCTTCTCCCCGGTGTGCGTCCTCATGTGGGTGGTGAGTGTGGACTTGCGGCAGAAGCACTTCCCACACTCGCTGCACTTGTACAGCTTCACCCCGCTGTGGATCTTCTGGTGGTCATTAAGGGCTGACTTCTGAGAGAAAGTCTTTCCACAGTCGGGACAGATGTAGGGCCTCTCGCCTGAGTGTGTCCTCTGGTGCTGCGTGAGGTGCGTCTTCTGGCAGAAGGACTTCCCACAGTAGCTGCATTCATAGGGCTTCTCTCCTGAGTGAGTTCTCTGGTGCTGGATGAGGTGTAACTTCTGGTAGAAGTTTTTCCCGCACTCATTACATTCGTAGGGCTTCTCCCCTGTGTGTGTCCTCTGATGCACGGTGAGGGTTCCCTTCTGGCAGAAGGACTTCCCACACTGGTTACACTTAAACGGTTTCTCTCCCGTGTGAGTTCTCTGGTGGATGATGAATTTGGACTTTTTACAGAAGGACTTCCCGCATTCCCGGCACTCGTAGGGCTTTATTTCCATGTGAGAATCCTGGTGGACACTGAGCTCTGACATCTGGAGGAAAGCCATTTCAGACTCACTCCAGTCATAGGGCTTCTCTTCCACAGAATCAACGAAAACAGTGTTCTTTGGGAAGGATTTCTGGCACTCAACATATTCAAAGGGCTTCTCCAAAGTACGAAGTTTTTGGTAAAAATTTTCTTCACTTAGAGTGTAATCGTCTTCATTCTGACTAAATCCGTAAGAATCTTCTCCTGGATGTGTTTTCTCGAGCTTAGTGTGGAGCAGCGATTTCCCACATCCAGCACAGACATTGGGCTTCATCTTTGCGTAGCTCCCATCGCTGCTGATGAAGGCGGAGATACACGTCAAGCTCTCCGCGCAGGAGCTGCATTTAGGGATGACTTTCCCTGAAGGAACAAGTGTTGTTTCTACAGCAGCAGCTTCACCGGCAGCATCGCCTGTCTTTCCGACCACGCTTCTGTAGCTGAGCACAGCTGCCCTCGAGAGCTTCTTTCCATCTTCCGGGGCTTTCTCCATCAGGTCATTCACCTGCCAGATTTCATCTGAAGAAAGACAAATTGAACGCAAGTTTGTACGTCTTCCTACATAAGACATGGTCTGACAACTGATACACAGCCCCTCATTGTGAGTTTAGCTTCACAATCCTGTTGGTACCCACACTGCTGTATCGTTTGGAGTAACAGACAGATCTCCACCGGCGGGAAGGAAAGGAAACTGACGACACTGAGCACCTTTGACCTGGGTCACTTTCTAACATTTTGTCCACGGATCCAGAGCAATGACTGGTGGAAAGGGCGGGGGTGCTGGATGAAAGGACTCGGAGCAAAGGAGAGCCCACAGGACAGTTAGGAACGCCACTGCACAAGACATATGGAAACAGGACGGTGTGGTGGCCGAAAAGCACTTTCTCCACATCACTCACCCTGGGAGAGGCTAGAATCTGAGGCGTTGCTGACCACGCTGACACACCTGTGCCTCGTTCTCCACCTTGTATCCTTCCATAATATCTCGTCTGCATTCCACACAACAGTGTCACATAAATTTTACACCTAAATTGCTGGTGTCTAGAACCTGAGACCCAGGCTCTCCCTCTAAGCTTCACTTGGAAGGCGAGTTCTGGAACATCTATGTGAGACAAGGAGTACCAAAAGGCACAGAAAAAGATGTCATCCCACCAGGCGGTGGTGGTGCACGCCTTTAATCCCAGCACTCGGGAGGCAGAGGATCTCTGTGAGTTCGGGGCCAGCCTGGTCTAGAAGAGCTAGTTCCAGGACAGGAACCAAAAAGAGTTACAGAGAAACCCTGTCTCGAAAAAAAAAAGAAGATGTCATTCCCTAAAAGGCTAGAATTTTTTAAAAAAAGGATTCTATCAAGTTTAAGACTGAACTCACTTTGACCATGAAATGTACTACTGTTCCTAGCTGGACAGTTCCTAACTGTGCTGTATGAACTGATACCGTCACCCAGGGAGAGTTACTTAACAGCCTCCACAGCCACCATCTCCACCTATCAGCAGGAAGTGACGGGCTTTACCTTACACGGTTGTTGTGGGATTACAGGACTCGAAATGCTCATGACAGCAAGAGGCACAGAATACATACTGAAGGTTTCCTGAGCATTTATTTTTCCCGCTTTCAATCTGCCAGCTCTGTGTTGGTTTGAACGAGATGTTCCCTGTAAGTCTTGAGCATTTAAATACTTGGTCCCTAGTTGGTGGCTGTTTGGAAGGAAGTATCAGTAAGAGAAGCTTTTGGGTTTCAAAAGACTCCTGGTACTTGGAGTTTTCTCTCTCTGCTTCCTGTCTGTAGACTGAGCTGTGAGCTCTCAGCCGCTGCTCCAGCCTCTTGCTGCCACACCCTGCTGTGACAGCGATGGACCATTATCCTTCTGGAACCATCAGCCCCACATAAACGCTCTCTTCTCTGTTCCCTTGGTCATGCTGTGCTGTGGAATAATCTTTTCGTCCATTGTGAAGATGTGTCTTTGCCAAGGTGCCTTCTGAATGGTTTAATAAAAGGCTAAATGGCCAATAGCTAGGCAGGCAGAGATTAGTTGAGAGTTGTAAACAAAAAGAAAGCTTGGGGATAAAGAAGGATAGGGTTGCCAGTCAGACCCAGAGGAAGCAGGAAATGAACATGCCATGCTGAAAAAAGGTACCACCATGTGTTAGACTGCAGATAAGAATTATGGGTTAATTTAAGTTCTAAGAGCTAGTTAGTAACAAGCCCAAGTTCTCAGTCAAGTATTTATAATTAATAATAGTCTGTATGTAGTTATTTGGAAGCCTGTGGTCCCTAGGAAAAACCCCATCTGCAATGGCATTGACAGCAACTGAAAAGTGCTGACACAGCCGTTTCCACACAACCTGCCACGGTCTAATTCTGAATGTGAGTTCCACTTTGTGTGCAAATGTACGGGCCCTCAGCAAGCTCTTCCAATGGGGATTTCTGTTTTCACTTATCTTAGAAATTATGGGATAGACCTACTTCACTCGATGTCATGCATACCAAATCTCAAATTATTAATCTTATTCTTCTTACCGCCTCCCAGAATCCACCAGTGCCAAAAACCAACACATCACCACCTGGACTCAAAAATGACTCAAAGCCAGGCAGGATAGGTCATAACTGAAAACATTCTGTTCCAGGAAAAGCAGATTATTAACTAAGAAAGAGTCATGCGGAACAATGAAGTTAGGATTTGTTCTGGAGATCAATACTATATACATCATCACGTCCTATCAAGTCGGCTGAGACAGATCACAGTGCCCCCGGCCTTATGCTAGGATTCCTGAGATAGCCAGCAAATTCTTTGCACACAGGCACCTACAAGTCTCCGTTCCTAAGCTTTCCTGCTGGACGTCCTGCCTACTTTTACTGCAGAGAGAAGGGTGAAACTGGAGTAATGATAAAAGCTGGGAAGGAAAACATGTCCAGGGGAGGAAACTCGACAGCACGGCCCATCCTAGCGAAACGTAAAGCGCAGAGATGAAAACCCCACGATGAGAAGATGCTAGGACCATGGAACAAATGCGGTTAGTGAGGGTTTCAGGAAACTCTTGCAGGCCATTCAGAGCCGTTAGTGCTACGCCTCTGGAGACAGGTTCACTTTGTAGAGGGTCAACTGGGTACCTACGGTGAAGAATCTTCCCAAGCCAATCAGGAGTAACAGCAGTCCAGACACATTTCACGCTTACATTAAAACGGCATAAAAGGTAAACAAGAAAAAAAAAAAGGTAAACAAGACATTTCCTAAGGGAACAACACGCAGCCACTCTGGAGACCTGCACCACCCGATGAGTAGATATTCTCAGAGACTCTATGAGGGCCATGGTGAGAAATGAGAAGTGAGCAATAAATCAATTAAGGAGATAGGAAAAGTGCTCGGCAGCCATAAGCTGGAAGAGTTCATGATCAATTTCACAAACAGCAAGAATGAGAGAAACACACGCTGTAAGCAGAAAAGGGACGGCAGGTGCCATGCAGCTGCAACACCGGTATGAGTCTGCAGAGAAACAAGCAGGTGAAGAAAACCTCAGACTTGACAGTGGAGAAGCCCTCTGAAGAATCATAAAGCCAGGGCACAGGTGGAAAAATACCCTTCCTAGATACTTCAGAAGGTGGAAAGAGAAATTAATCACATGTTGTTTATGTACACAATACAACGGGACATCATTCAAGGGCTGGGGAAAAGAGCAAGTATAAAGCTAAGAGAAAAACAAGTGTTTTGGAAGCAAGAAAGAGACCAGGTCTGCAGGAGCTAAACATCATCAGGCTGGATTTCCAGAGAACAAGACCTGGCCACAGAGGCAGGGACAGGCCAGGGTCAAATGGTTTAAGACAGGGATTTTATAAGCCAACCTCAAAGAAAATAAAGAGGTGGGTGTTGTGGATTATTATTTTAGATGTGTTACACTCACTTATGCTGTGGGATATTTGTTTAATGATGCAAAGATATGTTGCATTTTTTTTTTAACTCTGTGAAGCTGTGTTACTTTGCCTACAAACACCTGATTGGTCTAATAAAGAGCTGAGTAGCCAACAGCTAGGTAGAAGAGAGAAACAGGCAGGGCTGCCAGGCAAAGAACAAACAGAAGGAGAAGAGGGAGGAGTGAGAAAAGGAGGACAGAGGACGACAGGGGCCAGTCAGCCACGAAATAAGAAGAAAAGAAAAGAAAGGAATATAGAACAGAGAAAGGGCCGGGTGGTGGTGGCCCACACCTTTAATCCCAGCACTTGGGAGGCAGAGGCAGGAGGATCTCTGTGAGTTCGAGACCAGCCTGGTCTACAAGAGCTAGTTCCAGGGCAGGAGCCAAAACTACAGTGAAACCCTGTCTTGAAAAACCAAAAAGGAAGGAAGGAAGGAAGGAAGGAAGGAAGGAAGGAAGGAAGGAGAAAGGTAAAAGGCCAGAGGCAAACAGGATAGCTTAAGTTAAGAAAAACTGGCTAGCAACAAGACAAGCTGGGCCGGGCATTCCTAAGGAAGACTATGTCTCTGTATATTTATTTGGGACTGGGTGGCAGGCCCCATAAGAGCAAAGAGTAAAACACACCAGCTACAGGTGGGAGGTGAAATGGCTCACTGGGTAAAGAAGCTTGCTGAACAAAACTAGCAACCTAAGTTAAACCTGTCTCCCACGTGAACATAGAAGGAAAGAACCACTCCACAAAAGTTCTCCAGTGACCTCAGATGCATGCTGTTGAACCTGTACACTCACACTCCCAATGATGACAGAAAATAGAATTAAAGGGGCTGGAGAGATGGATTATCAGTTAAGAACACTGGTTGCTCTTCCAGAGGACCTGGGTTAGATTCCTAGCACCCAGACAGCTATTCACAGCCATGTAATGATGTGGAAGTGATTTCTTTCTAATCTGTTGCTTTCATTGGTTAATTAATAAAGAAACTGCCTAGGCCCATTTGATTGGCCAACCCTTAGGTGGGTGGAGTAAACAGAACAGAATGCTGGGAGAAAGAAGCTGAGTCAAGGAGTCACCATGATTCTCCCACTCCAGACAGACACAGGTTAAGATCTTTCCTGGTAAGCCAGCTCGTGGAGCTACACAGATTATTAAAAATGGGTTAGATCAATATGTATGAGCTAGCCAATAAAAAACTAAAACTAATGTGTTTAAAAGAATACAGTTTCCATGTAATTATTTCGGGTAAAGCTAGCAGTGCGGGCGGCCGGGTGCGGGGGACACAGCCCCCACACTCCTATTACAACAATGTAACTCCAGCTGAGGGCATCCAACCCCTCTTCTGTCCTCCACAGGCACTGCATGCACATGGCACACAGATACATACACAGGCAAAACATACACATAAGATAAAAATAAAGGCTTAAAAAAAAGAGCCCAAGCTGGGCAGTGGTGGTGCACGCCTTTAATCCCAGCACTCGGGAGGCAGAGGCAGGTGGATCTCTATGAGTTCAAGGCCAGCCTGGTTTACAAGAACTAGTTCCAGGACAGGCTCCAAAACCACAGAGAAACCCTGTCTCGAAAAAAACAAAAAACAAAAAAACAAAAAAAAAAGAGCCCATGATGGTTAATACTGTCAATCACCCAGAAGTCCAGCTTCTAGGCACCCTGTGATTCCTTGGTGAGAAAGAAACACCTACCATCTGGAGTACCAGTCCCTGGGCCAGGATTCTGGCCTGAATAAAAATGAGAAAGGGAGCTGTGCACCAGCAAGCATCACCCCTGCTTCCTGAGTGCGGACGCAGTGCAGGCACAGCATGAGCCGCTGCCTCCTCCATGTTGCTGTGACTGCCAGGCTGTGAAGGGCTGCGTACCTGGAGCTGGGAGCCCCTTCTGTGAGGTTTTATCACAGCCACAGGGAAGTGACCGATACAGCTACTAGCTCACGGTCAGACAGAACGAAGATAAAAGCAAAGGGTAACAGCCTAAGAGCTGAAGGCTGATTATTGACAATACACTTATGAACACCTAAGGAAACTATGATAATGGGTGACTCTTCTGTGTAGCCCTGGCTGGCCTTGAACTCAGCCTGCCTCTGCCTCCCGAGCGCTGGATTAAAGGTGAGCGCCCTTCACAGGCATCTAGGAACCTTTGATTCTGGAGAGTGGTAGCCAGGGGGAGATTCCCCATATGTTCATGGGGAAGAAATCTTTAGGAGCGACTAACTACCTTCAGTAATTCCTAAAGCGTGGGATGATCAGAATGTTCCTGGGAGAAACGCCCCAGTTACCACCTCCTCTCTGCCTCTCTGCCTCCACTAACACACCTGGATAGCTCTGAGGTGAGAATGCTCCTTCTACTATCCATGGCTCTTCTCCTTGTTCCAACTTGATGATAACATCCGGTTTGATAATGTGACACCCTGTTAATGAGAAATGAAACACAACTTGAGCCTGCCGGCCCCGCTTCACCATTTCCATCGTGCAGGGCAACTGCCGCTGTATAGGCAGGAGAGCACAAGCCCTCGTGCCTTATCGTTACAGAACGGCCAATCAGAGTGAACCGCTCACAATCATCCCACAGAGCTCAGAATTAAAGCCACCAACTCTTTCATGACCTTAAAGGCAATCCCACATTTGAGCAGCTGAGAAGGAAGCGGTGCTCACCCACGGAGACGAGGTTGCTGTAGGTCTCCAGCATCACGTCCCTGTACGTCATCTTCTCCTCAGAGCCCAGCCGCTGCCACTCCTCCTGGGTGAAGGCCACAGCCACGTCCCTGAAGGACAGTGGGCCCTGCAACAACATTCTCAGAATGCGATCACAAGAAACAGGCATCTGAAGACAAGCTCTTCCCAAGCTCGCTGCTGCTGTCAACCATGAACACTGCGCATTTTACTTTATATCACAGACTGCGAAAGGAAAGCCTGCCTATCAGGCGAGAGAAACGGCTCCGCGGTTAAAGCACTTGCAGTATGAGTGAGTACCAGATTAGGGTTCCAGAAACCCAGGTAAATGCCAGGCAGGCATGACAGTAGTTCTAATCTTGGGAGACAAGATAGGGGCTCTCCAGAGGAAGCTGGCCAGCAAGACTAGCCATATTGGAGAGCCTTGGGTTTGACTAAGATCTTCCTTCAGTGAGTACAGGGGAAGGGTGAACGATGGTTCCCAGCACCACCCTGGGTTTGACTAAGATCTTCCTTCAGTGAGTACAGGGGAAGGGTGAACGATGGCTCCCAGCACCACCCTGGGCCTCCACATGCACTCACACAGGCAAAACTGTGCAAGACACAAATACACGTAATACACACACATAGAAAACAGAAAATACCCAACTGCCTTGGGACTCATTTATACACATTAAGAAAGCACTGGGCTTGAACTACAAGCCAGGAATAATGCTTGCTGTTGGGGACACAAAAACCTTCAGAAACAGTTCCCACCACTGAAGAGCTCAGATCCAAGGGGCACCCACACAATCCTAGGTGCACCCTACTCTTTGGAACACTCTCCATCTGGTCTCCAATACATGAATGATACTGGTATCCCCCCCCCCTTACTTCCCTGACTCTTCCTTGTGTCCTCTGTTGGCGCTTCTCTCCCTCGGGTTTCCAGATCACTGACCGCTTTGATGGAGGACCTGCATGGATTCACAGCAGTTAAACTGCCCTCCATATGCAAACCCTTCCCAATCAGCACCAGTTCAGGTCTCTCTCCTGCACTCTAGACAAGGATGCCCCAGATTCTTCACCACAGCACTGTCCATTGCACAGCCTCTCAATCAAGCCCAGAACTTAGGGACATGGTAGTCTTCCTGGGAGCCCCTTGTTGCTTTCTTTCAAGGCTGCCATTACAGGCAGGCACATCCTCCTGGCATTTTTATGGGTTTCTGGAAATCTGAACTCCAGTCCACAATCTGTGGGACAAGTGTTTAACCACACAGCTATGTCCTCAGCTCCTCAAACTTCCGTTTAGTGTTTAAACTGTTTCATTCATGAACACACAGCCATGTGACTGCTTCCCACCACAGCATTGTCTGAACACACCAGCATCACCCAAACACAGCAGCAGCAGTGCAACTGTTTCCCGCTACAGCATCACCCGAACACAGCAGCAGTGCAGCTGCTTCCCACCAGAGCATCACCCGAACACAGCAACAGTGCAACTGCTTCCCGCTACAGCATCACCCGAACACACCAGCAGTGCAACTGCTTCCCGCCACAGCATCACCCAAACACAACAGCATCACCCGAACACATCAGCATCACCCAAACACACCAGCATCACCCGAACACATCAGCATCACCCGAACACACCAGCATCACCCGAACACACCAGCATCACCCGAACACACCAGCAGTGCAACTGCTTCCTGCCACTGCATCACCCGAACACACCAGCAGTGCAACTGCTTCCTGCCACTGCATCACCGCCACCCGTGAACATCAGTGGGTATCATGGACCCTATGAGAAGCACTTAGCACAGTGAAGTAGATTCCATCGGTATCTAACCTATTGCTGGTTATCGAATATATATTATTATAAACATGCTTTAAGCCAGTGACCTGTAAGCCGGTTTTTAAGAGAGGAAGAAAGATGTGAAACCAATGCTCTGGGAAATGAAAGGAAACAACAGAGTATCTTACGAATAAAAACACAGGGCCAGCAAGATGGCTCAGCAGGTGAAGGTGCTCGCCACCAAATCTAGCAACTTACGCTCAATCCCTGTAACCTGACTCCTGAAAGTTGTCCTTTGACCTCCACACACCCAACGTGGCATGTACACACCCACGAAGTAACTTAAAAAAACCCAAACAACAACAAAAATACCATCAACCCAAACAGTAAGATAACACAAGAGCAGAGACGTATGGCTCCGTAAGTGTGAGCGGACAGAATCTGTCTCAGAGCAGCAGAGCAGCCACAGACCAGCTCTGAGAACGGCTACTCAATTCTCACATCCGTGGATATTCCCATCCTGTGTGTTTCCATCTGAGACTCCCCCACGGAGGGAACTAGGTGAGCTCCTGGGAAGGAATATTCCGTTCTTTGGAGAACGCCAGTGTCTAGGCGAGCACACTGGCATCTGCGAGAGAATAAATGACTCCAATAAATAAATAACTCCCGCCAAAGGGAAGGAGGGCTACGTGAGGGCTGAAAAAGTCCAAGGGGTCTGTCCCTTAACTTCTTGGGACACTAAAAGTCATCACCAGGGCCAGGGATGGTAGTATATGCCTTTAACTCTTGGTGGAAGAGGGAGGGTCAAGAGCTCAGGGGCAGCCTGATCTACACATCAAGACCCCTTTTCAAACCAACCGATGCCACAAAAACAAAGAAATGGAAATAAAACAAAGAAAAACTACTCAGACCGTAAAAGAAAGCTGACTGTGGTGACAGAAAACGGGACAGTTTTGAACGGACCGCAGCCTTTGAACTGGACAACGGGACAAGGAAAGGAACAGAACAGAAGGCAAAATGGTGGGCTGAGAAAGACTGACTGACGTGGATGCAACAGTCTGTTGGGTGTTGTAGACACACGGTCCACAGAGGTGGCCAGCAGGCAGCTGGCTACTGGCTAACACCCGAAGAGCGAGGTCAGAGCAGGGTTAGGAAGTGCCTCATGAAGGCAGAAGAAATCCTAACTCCAGGATGAGGGCAGCAAGACAGAAACTGACAGAAGACAGAGACAGGATGTGTCAACAGTGTGTGTGTGTGCATGTTAGGGTACTGGACAGAGCAGAAAGACCCTGTGCACACAGGAAAGTTCAACAGCTGAGGTGCGCGGCTGCTCTTCCTGGAATGCTAGGATATCGTTTTACTACCTGCTGATCCTTTGCTGTCTTAATAGACAGGCTGTGTCCTTATCTCCCAGAATTTGTTTTTGCTTATTTAAGACATTTTCCCCTATATCTTGAACATTGTTTATAGACCACAAACCCCACTTTTACAAGTGACGTTACTTGTGCTTTATGACAGCCTAAGAGACTTCTAGGTCATCTTAGGGCCAGGTCAATCCTGACACCCACCGGCACTATGTTTACCTCGGTCAAACTCCCTGGACTCTAAGTCAAGGGTACTATCTCTGGGCCAACTGTAGCCCTGTTTGTGAAAGAATCCAGATGTACTTTGTAAAGAATCTCAATGTAAACATGTCTTGAGTTGTTGTGCACTTGGGGCTGAGTTCACTGTTATCTGAATACTTTTTTCCAAAACTGTGCTGTGTTTAAGTATGGCTAAAGTTAAATGATCTGGGCCAGACCCTATAAGTCCTGGTCCAGCACCGGTTACAATAAAATCGGGCTGAGCTGAGGTTCATTCTTGTCTCTTCGTGAACCATTTTTTTCCCTGTCTGCTATCAAGTCTGCAGGGGAACCACCACAGAATACCATTGGAGAGCTGGGCTGTAGATCGGTTCAAGGGTACAATCCATCACGGAGAACAACCCAGGCAGCAGGAGCGGAAAGCAGCTAGCCACATCGAATCCATGACCGGGAAACAGAAGGAAGGCATTCACTCCATCTTACATGCCCAGGATGCCCAGGGGATGGTCTTGCCCACAATCAAACGGGTTTCTCCACATCAATGAATATAACCAAGACACCCCCCCCCACACACACACACACAGGCACCCACACACACACACACTCGGGCACCCCACACACAGGCACCCCCCCCCCCCACACACACACAGAGGCACTCCCTGAGGCCCATCTCCCATGTCTCTGAATCTGGTCAAGGTGACAACCATACCATCAGAAGGGCTCTTCAAGGGCCGTGCTACCTGGAGCTATGAGCACAACAAAAACAGCTTACGACTGCTCAGTATGGTTTTGTCTGACTCTTTTATCTATTTTCCCTTTTAAAGCCTGAACTGTTCTTCGCCTCTCCGAGTGCATAGACCAAATGAGACCATAGAGAGGTGAAGAGAAAAAAACTCACCAAGGATGTCGTCATCTTCCGCTGCCGAAGGAAAAGTCTGGAGAAGTACTCGGATTGGGTCTGGGGAAGGAGAAACAAAGCCATTATTAGTGGTATGACAAGGGGGAAATCTATAGAGAAACCTACTAGAACATTCCAAGAAGGAAACCTTATGGGTGATGGTCTTGTGGGCTTTCAGAAGGAACTGGAGAGCTTTAACTATGCGTGGGGAATGGATGGACGGGACTGTCAAGGTGAACTAACACGAAATGCTGTTTAAATAATTTACATTGTTTAATTGGGATACAAAAGAATACTCACAGGCTGCTCTGAAAACAACACAGTTAACCTGGTGGTGACTATATTTGTATAAAATTAGGTGATATTGTGACTGCATCTTTAATACTGCAGAAGGAATGTCAGCCTGGGACTGAGCACTCCTACTGAAAACACCTCAGTGTGACCTCGGTTAAGTCACCACCATGGCAGACAGTCTCCCCACAAACTTTCTCAAAACTAAACCCTATGATGTTGCAGGGACAGACTCGGGGGAGCCAAGCAGACAGTGCACGGGTACCGATGGGTGCCGAGTGACACCGTAAGAATCTGAAGCGGTGAGAGGAAGGGGAGTTGCGTGAGGCAGGAGTGTGGACAGCGCCTCTGCAGCTCAGGCCGCTACCCCCTGCTATGCCCGCACGCCTCGTCCTCTGACAACGCTGCCCAAAGTGGTGCAGCCACCCTGCCTTCAGCCTGACCACTGCGACCATCCCGGATCCCTAACACTGTGGAAGGAGGGAGCAGGGACTTCACGCAGGCGCTCATTGCTCAGCCCCCCGCCCCCCGCAAGTAAGATCCACCCTCTCCCACTCCCCCCCCCCCCGCCCCCGAGGCCCCGATCTGCATCCTCAGGCCTCACCTAGGAGGCCGCAGCGGGCCCGGGTCTTGACACCTCTGTCAGCCCGGCCCTCGGCCTCCCCGGCCTGCACAGCCGTGCCCGCCCGCTGCGGACCCGGACGCTCCGGCCTCGGACCCGCACGCTCCACTACTCCAACTCGCGCAAGGCAAAGCTGCGGGAGCGAGGGCAGAAACACAGACCGTAGGAAGCCAGGGCGGAGCAGCGGTCGTGCGCACGCGCAAACTCGCACGCAGGCCGAGGTGCGCACGCGCAGCCGCGTTCCCGAAGTGGCGGGGTCTCTGAGGTCTTCCTCTCACCCTGGCGTAGAGTGTGGACTCCCAGAAGTCTAGGCGCCCCTGTTTCTAGGGATCGTCGCACAAGTCTCTTCCTCATCTCACCAAGCTGGGAGCAACAGTAATTCGGGCCCCGCGGTCACTGTCGTGTTGGTCCCCACTCCCTTTGAGTCTCCAGAAATGGCCCGAGAGGTTACGTCTTCGAGGCACCACGCCCTCTCCTGGCCAGGGGCTTTTATATAAAAGGCGGATTCTGACAGATAACTGTGTGTCCTGCTCTGTTAACCGAAGTGCTAGAAGTTTCCATAAAGCACCAACTACAAGAAATGACCAGCAGTTCTTTCCAAAGAAGAGAGAGAAGACAAAAATAGTGATTTTTCTGGATCACACAACGAATGCATAAAAGTTCTAAAAGCAACCAATGCAGACACACAGAAAGCCCTATTACAGATGCCTAGATGTTTGAAGTCAGCCTACAATAAATAACAATGTTCAAACATACCGTATGGTCAATGATTTCCCCAGTTCCACCCGCGCTCCCTAACGCAACAGGGTTCTTGTCCTGTTTCCAAAGCTGATGGAGACTGAACGAAAGCTGTCAATGCAAAAATTCTCCACACAGTTGCAGAAAAGAAGTTTCACCATGAACGAAGCGCCCCAGTCAACCTGCGGTGTCCATGGCAGGTGAAGCACTGCCCCGCGAAGAGTAGGCAGGAGGCAGAAGCACCAGGAATCTAACCCGCTGCAGGGTGCCTGTGGTCTCAGGAGGAAGGGTGACTCTCTCCTCGGCTCTGCAAGACTGGCTGCCTCTCCTCCCAGATCCGTTCTGACATCACCTGGTCACTGAAGTGCCCATCTAAGCTGGCCTTATCTCACGAAGATAAAGCTCCCACATCCCTGTGACAAGCAGGTAGTTACATCTCTGAACAGGGGCCCCAGGTGACGGAGATAGGAGCATTGCATAGAGGGGACTCCGGTCTTTCCGAAAAGAAATTTTTTCCTTGCAATGAGGATATTTCAAGCCTATATATTTTTGTATTAAGAAAAGATTTCGATGTGTACAGACAGAACAAGGGTCACCAGCCAGCAGGCTGAGGTCCTTCTACTCTGCTCAGTAGCAAGGAGACGCTCACCCAGTGCCGGCATCCCACACTCTTGGGTGCCCACGGTCTACTGGCTGGACCAGCAGGCCTACAGGCTTTCAGCTACAAGTTCTGACCTTGAGGTCTACTGTGTCCAGCTTTATAAACTAGAGACTTTATGTCCCGGTGGTCCTGGCCCTGGCACGTGGCAGCTGTTGTCATATATGACCTCCAATAGCAGCAACAGGTAGCAGCTGTGCCTGCTGGTGCTACTGATCCTCAATGGACTTAGGTGTTATGTTATGGTTATTGAGTTCAAGGTGTCTCCTTAGCCTTAACGCTTGACAGCTCCCTGGTCCACTGCCAGCTCCTGAGAGCTCACTGTCTGTCTGTGGCTCTCCATTGCCTTCCATTGTTCAGCCTCAGCTCCCCTCATGCTGCTCATTTTGCTGTTTCTACTTCCGTCCTCCCTTGGAGTCCGTGCTCGTTCTCTTAAGGCCGTCCTCCAATTGTCTCATGATCATATTCTCAGTTCAGCCCACTGAGCTGATGAGAAGGATCACAAGTAGGCAAAGAGCCCTGGAGAGAAGCCCTTTATGGAGCCTGCTGTGGCGCCATGAGTTTCAGTGGCCGCCTCAGTTCGCCGAGGCTTGTGATCACAAAAGGATTCCTTTAGAAAGCTGGGTAGGACGGCGGCGCACTGGAGAGGATGAACAAAAGGAGTATGAGTTTGAGGCCAGCTTGGGCAGCACAGTGAAATCCTGGAGGGAGAGTAGGAGGGGAGAACAGGCAGAAAAAGGGAGGGAGAGAGGGGAGGAGACAGAAGCTGTCTAGGACAGTGGTGCCCAGGGAAGTGGAGACTCCTTTCAACAGCAACCATCGTGAATCTGTGCAGCTTCCTCAAGGGGGCTGGGGCACACTCAAAGGAGCTGAGCTTCTGAGCAGCTGTTCTGGCTGCCCCCCCCCCAGGGTGGTCCACCAAACTGGTTGGCTAATAGTTTTCTGCTTGACACACCCAGGCAGAGACTAGCAGCTATCAATTAGGGGAGCAAATACTGAGCTTGTTTGAAGGAAAAATAAACATTAATATGGGTGCTTATAATAAAGGCTTATTGTTAACACTGACAATTATTCAATACTATTTAATAGTGTTCCATACTCTGCTAAATACTCTTGAAGAGCTGGGCATTCTATTGACTCCAATTGTATTTCGAAGCTGTGTGTCTGTGTCCATGTGTGTCTGTATTTGTGTCTGTGTGTTTAGATATGTGTTTTTATGAGTATGTGCGTGCTCCAAGGTCTTCATATTGAACTTGGAGCTCACCAGTTTGCCGACGGAAGTTGGCCAGTGAACTCTCTGAATCTGCCAGTCTCTGCCTCTCCGCACTGGGTACATACTGCACCCAGCTCTCACACGGGGGCTGGAGATCCAGACTCAGGGCTTCAGGCTTGTGCAGCAATCACTTTGCTTGTAGACTAAGCCATTTCTCCAGCTCCCTGTTCCTCAAGTTATTAATTTCCCCACAGAAATGATAAAAACAGGAAGAGGGTCTGGAGAGATGGGTCAGCTGGTAAAAATGCTTGCCTAGCGAGCCCGACAACCTTGCTCTGAGCCACAGAACCTATGTAGATGGGAACGGAGAGAACCAACTCCACAAAGATGTTTTTTGAGCCACAGCGACACACTGTGGCTTTTGCACGCTGTGGTCGTCACTCACCTGCATCCACACACGGACTTCACAGGCACACAAATGGAATTTTAATAGGTAAATCATTTGAAGATGTACTCACAAGACTATGTAAATAAGCGCTATCTGCTGTGCCAAGGAAGGTAGAGAGATGTGCGTGTGTGTGTGTGTTAGTGGGGTTGAACTAGTTCTTTGCACATGCTAGGCAAGCCCTTGACCACTAAGCTACATCTAGCCCTTTTTTGTTTTCTTTCTGTTTTGAGGTGACTCACTCAGTAAGTTACCTGAGCTGGCTTGTGCCCACTCTAGAGTCCAGGCAGGCCTTGAGCCTGCAGTCCCAAGTGGCTGCCATGACAATCTGGCAGTCTACACAAGCAGATTCAACTTCCTAAGGAATTTTCACAACGGTTGACCCGGAGCAGGGTGGAGAGGTGGCTCAGCAGTTAAAAGCGTGCGCTGCTCTCCTTGAAGACCTGCATGTGGCTCCCAGCTCTACTGTCTGTCAGATTGCCCCGCCTGGACCTCAGCTCAGGGTATCTGATGCCTGTGTGTCCTTAAAGGTACACACACACACACACACATACACACACACACCCCAACACACACACAGGAGCCACATAAAATTTTATCTTCAAAAAATTCCCCGGGAGGGTCAGCTAGATGCCATGTAAGCCTGAAAACTTGACGTCAGTCCCAGAACACACAGTGGAAGGATAGAACTAACTCCCAAAAGTTGCCTTCTGATCTCCCAAGTGTGCCATGACATACTCACATAAAAAACAGCATTCGTGAAACAAGGTAAAAAATAAAACTACTGTGGACATCAATATAAACAAACACATCTGAAAGCCACACGGTCTTAAAGACAGGGAAAGCACAAATCTCACGTACTCCAGCAGATTCGCTCAGTTGGTGCCTCTGTGTGCTACAAGGCCACTAAAGAAATCGTATTGTATTTATTTAGACTTCCTGTCCACCTAGAGACTCATGGCTCTAGGCTACAGGTAATGTTCGCTCTCAACCCTTCCAGTTCAGCACCTGGCAGCCACCACTACCCACTCAGGTGGAATAACGGTGAATCGTGTGTGTGTGTGTGTGTGTGTGTGTGTGTGTGTGTGCTGTGTTGTTTTGTTTAGGGAACAGGGTTTCTCTGTGTAGCCCTGGCTATCCTGTAACTTGCTCTGTAGACCAGGCTAGCCTCAAAACTCAGAAATCTGCCTGTCTCTGCCTCGGAAGTGCCGGAATTAAAAGCATACACCACGAAAAACCAGCTAAAATATTAAGTGCCCTTTTTATCACTAACAAGTGGAGAACGCTCCTCACGGTGGATCTGAATTGTCAACTTGATTAGATCTAGAGACACCTAAAATACTGCCTTAGTTTCTTTTCATGTCGCTTTGATAAAATACCCAACAAAAACTACTTAAGAGAGAAAGGGCTTCTTTTGGCTCACAGTTCAAAATGGTCCATCATGGCAGGGAAGCCAAACAGACAGGAACTTGAAGCAGCCCATCCTATCGCATCTACAGTCAGGAAGCAGAGAGGGCTGAGGAATCACTATGTTCAACTGTGCTTTCTCCTTTCATACGGTCTGTGATCTTAGCCCAGGAAAAGGGTGTCAGCGGAGCGGGACTCCCTACCTCGCAAACCTAGTCGGGATAACTTTGCACAGGCTTGCCCGGAGGCCATTCCAACTAGATAGTCCCTCATAGGTGTGCCTGTCTGATGGAGTTTCCTGAGAGGTTTTCTGAGGAAGACACACCTGAAATGGACAGCACCATCTCATGGGCATGGGGTCTTAGACTGAATAAAAAAGAAAAGGAGAGGGGGCTGGAGAGATGGCCTGCTCTTCCAAAGGTCCCGAGTTCAATTCCCAGCAACCACATGGTGGCTCACAGCCATCTGTAATGAGGTCTGGTGCCCTCTTCTGGCCTGCAGGCAGACACACAGACAGAACATTGTGTACATAATAAATAAATAAATATTAAAAAAAAAGAAAAGAAAAGGAGAACACGAACTAAGCAACAGCCTCTCTCTCTCCCTCCCTCCCTTCCTTCCTCTCCTCTCTCTTTCTCCCTCCCTCTCTCTGTCCCTTCCTTCCTCTCTTTCTCTCTCCCTCCTTCTCTCCCTCCTCCCTCCTTCCCTCTCTCTCCCCCTCCCTCTTTCTCCCTACCTCCTTCTCTCTCCCCCCCTCTCTTTCTCTCTCTCTCCTTCTTTCTCACCTTCCCTCCCTCCCCTTCTCTCTCCCCTCTCCCCCCCCCCCAGCTCCGGACTTGAGCAGCCTTCTCAGGCTCCTGCCACCACACCTATCATGATGGACTGTAGCCTCTCCAACCGTGAGCTCAAATACCCATTTCCAGCCTGAAGCTGTTTTTGTCAAATGTTTTGTCCCTGCAGTGTTAAAGCCTAGGTTCCTAACTAATGGCATTGTTTGGGGAGGTCCTGGAAACGTAAGGTATAGGGCCTAGATGGAGGAAGCAGCTTCAGTGGTGGCAGGGAGGATTTATTGGGGCTATCCGGTCCCTTTCTGTCTCCCTGTTTACATTTCCTGTCTACCGTGCAAGCAGGAACAATCCTACCACTATGATGTTCTGCCTCACAGTGATCCCAGAACCACAGAGCCAAGGGACCCCTGAAATGATGAAGTCAAATAAAATGTCCATCTTTCAGGTGCCTGTTTTAAGAACAAAAGCAATTCATAGAGAGAACAGGTGCCAGGAAAATGGAAGCACAGTTGTAATAAAACTGCCCTTATGGTTTCTAAACCTTCAGAGCTGACTTGAATGAAGAATTTGCAGATGTGTTTAGTTGCACAGTAGATAAGTTTTAGGATGTTGTAAACCTGACTTGGTGAGAGATCCCGGCGTGAGCTCAAGAGGTAAGAATCCCAGTAGACACTCAGACAGCATAGACTGTACCCAGAGGTTTCACGCGAGAGTTGGAAATTGTGCGAGAGGCCATTTGTATTACATTCTGCCAAGGAATATTCTGCCAGGTAAATCCTTTGCCTGTGCCTTTGTTTCTCTTGTTTGTTTGGTTTGGTTTAGTTTTTGCATCTCTCAGAGGTCCTCGCTCTGTGTCTTTGGTTTGGAACTCACTATACAGATCAGGCTGGCCTCCAGCTTGCAGAGGATCCTTCTGCTCTGCCATTTGAGTGCTAAGATGATAGACATGAGCTACCATGCCCAGCTGCTCTGAGACTTCGCAGCTACAGTGGTTATAGTTGTCACCTTGACTGAGTCTAGAATTATCTTACATTAATTGATGTCAGGAAACCCATCTTCATTGTGGGCAGGTACATTCCCTAGACACTGGGCTGTAACAGATGGAGAAAGGGAGCTGAACAGCCTTGTGTATCCACCACTCTCTGCCTCCTGACTGTGGATGCAGTGTGACCAGCCACTTACTTCAACCTCCTGCTGCTGGACTTCCCTGCCACGACGGACTGTACCCTTGAACTGAAAGCCACAGTCAGTCCTTTCTCCCTTAAGTTGCTTTCTTTGAGGCATTTTTATTATAGCAACAGACAAAAAGACCAAGATAAAAATATACTAACTAATGCTGTAGAGGAAGTTTTGAGACAGTGTAGCATTCAGGATACGGCATGGTTATTTCGGGCTGCTTTTAGTCAGGCTTAAAAGTAAGAATTAGTATAAAAAGCAGAGCAGAGGGGGCTGGAGAGATGGCTCAGTGGTTAACAGCACTGGCTGCTCTTCCAGAGGTGTTGAGTTCCATTCCCAGCAACCACACGGGGGGGGGGGGGGGGGGGGGGGCTCACAACCATCTGTAATGATCTGGCGCCCTCTTCTGGCTTGCCGGCATACATGGAGGCAGAATGTTGTATACATAAGAAATAAATAATAAATAATAGCCGGGCGGTGGTGGCGCACGCCTTTAATCCCAGGACTTGGGAGGCAGAGGCAGGCGGATCTCTGTGAGTTTGAGACCAGCCTGGTCTACAAGAGCTAGTTCCAGGACAGGCTCCAAAACCACAGAGAAACCCTGTCTCGAAAAACCAAAAAAAAAGAAAGGAAGGAAGGAAGGAAGGAAGGAAGGAAGGAAGATTTAAAAAAAAAAAGCAGAGCAGAAAGACTTGGAGAAAGTCTGTGCTTTGGTCAGAAAAGCATGTATGAAGTTGAGAGCAAAGCAGAGGGGTTTCTGAAAAGGCAGCAGTGTGAGTGGGGACATCCTGCCCAGCACTCACTGCTGTTCAGCAGCTCCTACATTAGAATTCTCAGCAGTGGAGCCAATGACCGTGCTCACACCCCCACATGTCACTGGAGTGTGCTTCCACATCAGCCAGAGGATGGGACTGTGATTGGACAGCTTGTGAGACAGGGTGGCATCAGCTGGGTCCCTGGCTACTAGCTGCACTGTACAATGGCTGCACTCGGTCCAGGACTGGGTGTCCTTGGTACCGTCGTTCTTTTTAGTCCTCTGTCCTGTGCCCTGCAGTAGGCTGTCCTCTTGGATACATAATTGGTTAGCTTCAACTGTCAACTTGACACCATCTGGAATAATTTGAAAAGAGAGTTCCAGAGAGTGGATTGTCTGTGGGAGATCACCTTAACTGAGTTAATTGATGTGAGAAGAACCAGCCCACTGTGGGTGGTACCCAAGTAGACAAGTGAGCGTATGCGCATTGGTGTCTCTGCAGATGTGATGTGACTAGCTGTTGGACACTGATCACAGGCTCGAAAATATAAGCAGGGAAGACACTGAATGTCAACCCTTCTGTTAAGGGATGCTACCGTTCCACCCAGGATTGTCCTTTCCTCCAGGGTCTGGGAGTGAGCCTCAGGGTTGGCCTCTCTCTCTCAGGGGTCTGAATCCAGAGACTGTCACTTCATATACTTTCCCTTCTTTGCAAACTTGATTCGCTGAAAGAGTTGATCTTGAATCCTGTGACTCAAATTGCATTGGGAGCACAGGTAGCAGAAACTCATCGTTAGCAGCTGTCCTCTGCCCCCGCAGGTCTCACTAGATTTTAGGGGTCATAGCAATGGGAGATTGCTTCAAGGGTTAAAGACCATAGTCACCAGAGGACACAATGGGAAGATTAGAGGGGTGGGCCCAGCAAGGTTGTGGAAATGCTAAGGGTAGAAGCCCAGGTTCAACATTACTCTGAGGTCTTCCTCTTCATAGGGACACTCCATCTATGGGTACCACTTACTGGCCAGAAGCACTGGATCAAAGGTGCTGTCAGATAAGCACCTTTGGCCTGACACCATCCTGCATGTCAGATCTCCATCACAAGTCCCCCACAGACTCTACCTTGTCGTGTTCATCGATAGTGGCTGTGCTTTCTGTAGAATCCCCATTGCATTCTTCAACTATGGATTTGCAAACCTGCACATCCATCCTCGGAACAGGTAGACACATCAATCCATCAGTTATGCATGTTGTCCTTCAAACCGGTTGCCAGGTTGGAAGGCTGATGACCTCACAGGCTTCCGCCCCTCCTGATTGGAAGGGCCTAACTCTGTGGAGCTAGGCAGCTCGGTGGTTAAACTCACTTTTCTCCTCCACACTGAACTCCAGAGACGACAGAAGGGAGAGTTAGGAGTGGACTCAGCCAGAGCCCAGGAGGAGGGTGGGGGAGACAAGAGTCTAGGGTTTGTAGAAGAAAAGGAGGCATCTCAGAGGATCATGGCTGCTGGTGACCCATCCTTGACACAGGAGGAGCAGTGTCCCCAGCTTAGCACCACGGTGTCATCACCAGTGGTGGACGGAGATATCCCAGGACTGTCAGGTGAGGTTACCAGGGTGAGAAGAGATGTGAGCAGGTGGCCATTAGGAGAAGGGGCGTAGGAGAAAGAAAGGAGGGGCCCTGGATGCCAGAGACTGGAGAAGGGGGGACAGGCAATGGGACGTGAATGTCACATGAACAGGAAATCTACAGAGCAAGGAAGAGGAATGAAGAATTATAAAAAGGAATTTCTCTCAGGAGGCAGAAGAAGCAGACATCTGGAGTTGGAGCTAGCCTGATCTACAGAACAAGATTCCAGGATTGATAGAGAGAAACCCTGACTCAAAAATCAAATATAAGGCCAGACAGTGGTGGTGCATGCCTGATTGAATCCCAGCACTCAGGAGGCAGAAGCAGGCAGATCTCTGTGAGTTCAAGGCCAGACTGGTCTACAGAGTGAGTTCCAGAACAGGCTCCAAGGTTATAGAAAAACTCTGTCTCAAAAAACAAAACAAAACAAAACCAAAAAGAATTTAATTATTAATTAATTAAAAATTAAAATGTTTCCTTTTTTACCAAGTGCAGAAAGAGTGTATAATGGGGAAGAGACTGAGTTTCAAATGGGCGTGCACAGAGTGAAGGGAAAGCTGAGATGTTTCCGGGAATAGGAAAGGGCGGCACCCCCAGCATGTGCATTGCAAAGAGAACAGACATGGAGGATGGTTTGGAGATGGAATGAGTGTAGGTCACGGCAGGATGCAGACGGGGCCCTAATCCTCAGAACAAGTAGACACATCAAGCTGTCAGTTACACATGTTTTATTTCAAACTGGTTGCCAGATTGGAAGGCTGATGACATCACAGGCGCCTGCCCCTCCTGATTGGAGGAGAAGCACTCCATGGTGGTGGGCAGCTCGGTGGACAACAGCATCTTCTTGGAGCTTTCCTCCACACCTCACCTCTCCCTCGATGGGGGAAGGGACGTCATGTGTGGATTCAGTGAAAGTTCAGGAGGAGGGCGGGATAGACCAAAGTCTGGGATTTGTGGAAGGGAGGAAACAGGTTGGGAGAATCGTGACCGCTGGCCAACTGTCATTGTGTTCTGAGCGACAGAGTCCTCAGCTTGGCATCAGCAGGCCCTCACCTGGGGTGCTGACGCATGGGGAGATCTCAGGACCAGCAGGTGAGGGGACTGGGTGAGGAGAGATGTGAGAGGGTGATGGCAGGAGGAAGGGCGCAGGAGGAAGGAGGGAGGCCAGGAGGCAGGTTGGGGGCAGGAGAACAGGGAGTCAGACACAGATGTCACATGGACTGAAAACCTACAATACAAGGAAGGGGTTAGGCACCAAGAGTTAGAGACAGGACAGAGAAGAGGGGACATAAGAAGAGACTTCCTTTATATGAGGACAATTTGTCTCTGATGAGGAAGAGTCTTGAGGAACGGGGAGAGGGGATGGGGACAAGATGAGAGGCAGGTGGCCATCAGACCAGAGGGAATCGGCATGATGGTTTGGGGAAAGGCAGTAGCTGAAGAGGTCTGGGGTGTTTGGAGTATCAAGGGGCAGGGCTGAGATTCACACACGCTGGGGTGTGGTTTCTTCACTTAGAACCAAGGGCGGAGGCCAACTCCCAGCCTCTGTCCACCAGCCCAAAGAGGAAGAGGAACTTGTCATCGGATTCTGAGGATGACCTGGCAGAGCTGCTGGACCCTGAACCTGAGCCGGTGTGGTCCGTGGAGACACTGTGTGGGCTCAGGATGACGCTGAGGAGGAGGCGCGCATCTATGGTGAGGCCTGAACACCACAAGGTCTTCACCAGGCTGCTGGGTAGGTGACACCTGAATGGCTCCCTCCTTAGGTGAAGGAGGAAGCTTCTAGTCAACCTCCTTCCCTGTGGAAAAGCTGCCCTCCCGGTCCAGAGCGGTAAGCCTGGGAGGCTCAAGCTCATTTGAGTCTCAGGGACGCATAGGTGGCAGGGGCTTAGGCTAGAGTTGACAAAGGTTCACATGGAGGTGAGGAAGAGGATAGTAACTTACTTCTTCCTGGCTTTCCTGAGCTGGGTGTCTTTGCCCACACAAGGGCAACCCAGCCAAGTTCCCACTGTCACATGACATCACACCAGTCGGCCTAAGTGCTTCTGGCCTGTGATGGTGTGCATTCGGTGCAATGAGAGGATGTCATGATGTTGTTGACACAGGCTGGGACAGGGATGGAGCTCAGAGGCAGGCTTCTGACCTGAGCCATTCCCCAGGGAGGCGGCTATCATGGCTCTCCCCCAGGGAGGTGGTTCTCCTGGCTCTCCCCCAGGGAGGCAGCTCTCCTGGCTCTTCCCAAGCTCTTCCCTTTCACACCATGACACATGCGCTTCCTTCACAGAGGATCCTGTGGTGAAAAAATTCCTGGCCTGGGACAAGACGCTGAGAGTGTCTGATAAGGTGCGCCAAGCTGGGCTCCAGATCCTGTCCTGCCTGGGGAGGGGCCTCCCTGACCACCGTCCTCTGTCCCTCCCCAGAGCCACCAGAAGTCACATAGTCCTGACCCTCCATATCCTGCCAGTGCCTCTCTTCAGGGCCTGGCAGTGTCTTACAGAGTGGACAGGAGACCCTTGCCTCACTGGGGTCTGAGCCCCATGGTCACCATCTTACTCTGGGAACTGCTTCTTCTCTCCCACAGCCCTCTGGGACCCTCTGTTCCCACTGGGCAAAGACCTCCTTGTCCCAGTTGTCCTAAGTCCTCCCTCAGAACTGACCCAGAGCCAGCCATGATGGAACAACAAGGGCCTCCTGCCTCTGACCTGGCTTTCCTGAAGGCCCCTTTCACCCTCCCTTCCCCACTCCAGCAGGCACCCAAACCTGGGGCTCCTCTCTGAGCCTCATGCCCCCTCAGCCCCCTTCCCCTGTGCCTATGGTCCTCCTCTCCAGGGTGTGATGGCTCCTCTCCTATCTGCTCTCTCCTTCAGTACCTCCTGTCTATGGTCATAGCTTATTTCAGCCGCGCCGGGCTCTTCTCCTGGCAGTATAGGCCAATCCACTTCTTCCTGGCTCTGTGAGTATTTTGCCCCCTCCTGTTGGTCACTGTTCCTTCCCCTGCATGTGGGGATCACAAAAAGTGGGCGTCTGACATGTCCTTTTAGCAAAATGTCCTTAAACTTGTTTTGTGTGTGTGTGTGTTTTTCAAACTAATACCAGCTTGAAATTTAACAAGGGCCAGAGGGATGACTCAGTTTGTAATGCACTTGCCATACAAGCACAAAGACTTGTTCAGATATTCAGAACGTACAGGAAATGCTGGGCCAGGTGCTTGCAATTTCGGTGCTAGCAGTCAGGTAAAGGAAGAGCAGCCTCCTAACCTAACTGGTGTGACTGAGGTCTCAGTGAGGGACCCTGTCCCGTGAAACAAGGTAGATAGCTCCTAGGAAGAACTCAGGGTTGTGTTGGAACTAAATTTAAGTGCTCAATTGTGCACCCCCCTCCACACACATACATACACACACACATACACACACACATACAGACACACACACACACACACACACACACACACGCCCTCACACACTCAAGGACACATCGAATAAAACCAGGAAGCGTAGAGCTCTTTGTAGAGTTTCAGTTCTTTCCGCAAGCATTCAGGTGATCTGTGTCCCTGTCTTCACTCCCCCTCAGTGGCTTCTTTCCATGGTGGTTCTCGGGGGTGGCACATAAATAGTTAAAATTAGCCAGCCCATACCTGCAGGCTGGCATTACCAAAGTGAGCTCAGCCATCTTTCTACCCAGCCACCACCCGGTACTCCCTTCCTCCCTGTCTCCTTCCCAGGCAGTACCCTCCATTCTAATCATCTCGGGGTGCCTGGAGACAATCACCTTCCTTCAAATTACTTCATCCTCTGAAATCTAACAGGACAAGGCAGAGCCTCCCTCTAGCCGAAATCCTTCAGGAAGCTGAGATAGGATGATCCCTTGAGCCAAGTTTTTGAGGGCACCATAGCTACATAGCAGGGCACCTCAAATCAACCTGATCATGAATGAAGCCTTTTATCTGCACTGTTTGATCTGCCAGCTTTTGCCTCCAGCAGAAGTGTGCTAAAATTCTATCAAGATGAAATTTTGGCAGGCCGGGCGGTGGTGGCGCACACCTTTAATCCCAGCACTCGGGAGGCAGAGGCAGGCGGATCTCTGTGAGTTCGAGACCAGCCTGGTCTACAAGAGCTAGTTCCGGGACAGGCTCCAAAACCACAGAGAAACCCTGTGTCAAAAAACCAAAAAAAAAAAAAAAAAGATGAAATTGTGGGTTTTGAGAGATGACTCATCAGCTAAGAGCTATAGGATTGAATTTCTGTTCTCAACATTCAAATCAGGCCACTCACAGCACTGCAGGGGTCCAGCGCTCGCTATAGGCACCTGCACACATTGTACATACTCATACATACCCATATCCATACCTAAAAATGAAAAGTATATTTAAGGGACTGTAGACACAGCTCAGCAGCTAAGAAAGTACACTGGACTCCTGTTCAAGGGGTATCTGATGCCCTCTTCTGGCCTCTGAGGCCATTTACATGCATGTGCACACCCACCCACATGCGTGTGCACACACCCACACTCACATGCACCCCCCACATGCACGTGTACACACCCACATGCGTGTGCGCACATCCACATGCATGTGCACATGCACCCACGTGTGCATGCACACATACACACACAAATACTAGAAAACATGTAAGAGGTGGGTTGTAGCCTCTGGCGTCCTCTCCTCTCTCCCAGTTCCCTCACAGTGGACACGTGTTGAAAGCAGGATCTGGTCAAACACAGCCATTCTCCAGACACCTCGATTCTGTTTTATTCCAGAGGTGTTTCTGTTATAAATCCAGCCACGCACAACATCAGCATATGTCTGCCTGTCTATCACTTCCATCCATTCATTCACGCATCCAGCAATTCATCCAGCACATTCTGGACAGTGCCCTCTTCATGCCAAAATATGAGGGGACGCTGAGAGAGAGAGAGACCTCAGAAATGCTAATTGACATTAAGGAGAGAAGGAAGGGAGAGGGTGGTGGAATCGGCTCACGGTGAGAGCTGCAGAGACAGCATCAGGTTCTGACAGTGGCGTATCCTCATCTGCTCAGCTGATGTGATCCTGTGCTGAGGTGGCTCCCGGGTCCTCTTCTGGGTCCTTCTGAGCCTTTCAACAACACCCTGATTCCTTCCCCAGGTACCTGGCCAATGACATGGAGGAGGACAACCAGGCCCCTAAACAAGATATTTTTTACTTCCTCTACGGGAAGAGCTATGCCCAGCGCCCCATGTTCCACAAACTGCGGTTCCAGTTCATTCAGTCCATGGGCTGGAGGATCTGGGTGTCCCGGGAGGAGTGTGAAGAGGTGGGTGGGTGTGGGGCACGTGGGGCGCAGAGGGATGGGCTGGACAGACAGAGAGCAGTGCAGTTAAATGTGGGAGGTGGGGTTTTGGGGAGTGAGAAACCTTGAGGATAAACAGGGCATGTAAGGATGTTGGGGGAGGGGCAGACTGGCATTGCTCAAGGATCTTATTCTCTCTGCAGATCCAGGCTTACGACCCAGAGCTGTGGGTGTGGGCACGAGATCGCACCAACCTCACCTAGAAACCTAGAACTGTAGAGGCCTGAGGTCATCGGCCTAAGGAAGGTATGTTGATGTTCTCTGAGGTGCGGAGTCCCGTCTGTGGTCTGATAAGGAAAGCCACTAAATCCCTGCCTAACCCACCCTCATCCCACACTCGACTCCATCCTTTGAAACAACCCATTTGCACAGCTTTATCAGTCCCATCACTGCACACATACGCACACAAATGCACGCACACACAATGCACACATGCACACACAGGTACACACACATGCACACATCTAATGTTAAAGCCAGAGGTGCCCCATGAGAGAGCCCCCATGTGTCAGCCTCAGCATCCGACCCTGAGCATCACAGAACAGACTGACAAATGAAAGAAAGGTTCGAGAAAAGTTCCCATTTGTCAAATGTTCTGACCTCTAGTTGGGATTAATGTGAACAAAACTCTTGTTCATGTCTGAAGAACTGCAGTATGAAGTCTGGCATGGCTCCCTCTTCCCCCAGATCCCTGTGCCCAAGGGAGACACTCTGTGCCAACATTAAGAACCGCTGGGAGAAAGGAGAGAGGACGCCTTCCACAGGAACTAGAAGAACCCAGACTCTTCTAGAAGGATGGAATGGAATCACCACACTGTGCTCCTGAGGGGGAACACATGTAGGGGCTCTGGTGGGGAAGCCAGACATCAGGATTCCTCCAGGGCCCACTCCACTCAGCAGCACCGTCTAAATGTCATCCGGATGTCCCCAGTCCCATCTCCCCAAGGCAGCAGCCCTGTGGTTCCTTATAATTGGTCTCCACAGGCTCAGGCCATTTGAAGGAGGCTCCTCAGGGCTCAGACAAGGAGGGAAATATCTTCAAAGAACAGTATTTGATCTATATAATTGTAATAACTTTCACACATCACAAATTTTATTGTATTATTAGTACACATAGCAAGTTTTTGTATTATCAATAAATAAACATTATTGTGTTATTCTATGCTGACTACAAAATAATTAGCATATTAGTTTTATGTTTTGAGAACACGCTGCTCCTATGTCTTATCATAGCCCTTATAATGTTTATACACACATGACTATTTTGACTCAATGGAGAGTTTTTAACCTTTAAAAACCTATTACACTTATGTGTGTATCTGTCTTCTATGTGGGTAGCAGAACCCTAGGTCTTTGTGAATACAAGTTTTCACTTATTTCATATTTATTCTCTTTGTTGAATGTCAACATTTAGTTTTGATACTTTGACATGCTTGGACATGTTTTTATATTACTTTAAAAAGGGTGTGTGTTTGAAAGAGCATCCATGTCACAAGGTCCTTCCCCAGGATCTCTCTATCTCTTTCTCTCTCTTTCTGTGTGAGTGTTATGAAGTCATGGATGTCTTCATGTTTGCCTGTGTGTAAATCTGTGTATATGTGAGGGCGTATATGGGGGGGTACAGTTGATTTCTAATGTCTTCCTTGATGGCATACTACCTTATTCGTTATGGCACATTCTCTGTTGAACCCAGAGCTCCCAATACACCGAGTCTCTCAGCTTGTTCTAAGGACACACATTGGCCTGATGTGGGAGTGTCATATATCAATCTGTTGATTTCATTGGTTAAGCAATAAAGAAACTGCTTGGTCCTCATAGGTTAAACCATAGGTGGGAGGAGTAAACAGAACAAAAGGCTGGGAGAAAGAAGCTGAGTCAGGCAGTCGCCATGATTCTCACACTCCAGGCAAATGCACGTTAAGATCATTCCTGGTAAGCCAGCTCGTGGGCTACAGCAGATTATTAGAAATGGGTTAGTCCAGGTGCGAGAGCTAGCCTAGAAGAGGCTAGATAGAAATGGGCCAAGCGGTGTTTAAAAGAATACAGTTTCCGTGTAATTATTTCAGGGCATAACCTAGAGCTAGCCATGTGGGCGGCCGGGTGCCGGGGACACAGCCCCGCCGCTCCTACTACTACATTGGCCCCATCTGTTTTCCAAGAGCCAGAATTACAGGAGAGATTCTGTGCCCACCCAACATTTACATGGAGTGGGGATCTGAACTCTGGTCTTCAAGCTTGCGGCTTGCACAGCAAACGCTTTAACGACTGAGCCACCTCCCATCCCGGCTACTACGATTTCTCAGATGCTTTTCTCCTGTAGACCATCTGTCTGCGGTGACTGTGTGTCACATCACTGAAATTAGTGAAGAAAAAGGAAAAGGACTGAAATTCCCTACAAGGGTGGAACAACACAGACATGCTAGCAAACGAAGAAAGATCTTGTGTGCACAACTGTGTATGTGTTGTTTGCTTATGTTTGTGTAGATTGTACACACGCCTGTGGGTGCAGGTCCACACATGTGCATGTGTATTGTTTGCTTATGATTATGTAGACTGTACACACGCCTGTGGGTGCAGGTACACGCATGTGCATGTGTGTTGTTTGCTTATACTTAGGCAGACTGTACACACACCTGTGGGTGCAGGTACACACATGTGCATGTGTGTTGTTTGCCTATGATTATGTAGACTGTACACACACCTGTGGGTGCAGGTACACGCATGTGCATGTGTGTTGTTTGCCTATGATTATGTAGACTGTACACACGCCTGTGGGTGCAGGTACACGCATGTGCATGTGTGTTGTTTGCCTATGATTATGTAGACTGTACACACACCTGTGGGTGCAGGTACACGCATGTGCATGTGTGTTGTTTGCCTATGATTATGTAGACTGTACACACGCCTGTGGGTGCAGGTACACGCATGTGCATGTGTGTTGTTTGCTTATATTTATGCAGACTGTATGCACACCTGTGGGTGCAGGTACACGCATGTGCATGTGTGTTGTTTGCTTATATTTATGCAGACTGTATACACGCCTGTGGGTGCAGGTACACGCATGTGCATGTGTGTTGTTTGCCTATGATTATGTAGACTGTATACACGCCTGTGGGTGCAGGTACACGCATGTGCATGAGTGTTGTTTGCTTATATTTATGCAGACTGTATGCACACCTGTGGGTGCAGGTACACGCATGTGCATGTGTGTTGTTTGCCTATGATTATGTAGACTGTATACACGCCTGTGGGTGCAGGTACACGCATGTGCATGTGTGTTGTTTGCTTATGATTATGTAGACTGTACACACGCCTGTGGGTGCAGGTACACACATGTGCAAGTAGAGGGCAGAAGTTGGCATCAGATCTTTTCCTCAATCTTTCTACACATTATTCTTTAAAGGTATATTTATCCTTGTTTTATGTGTGTGAGTGTTTTGCCTGCACAAAAGCCTGAGCGCCATGGGTGGGCAGTGTCCAGAGAACTCAGATTTATGCATTGGATCCCCTGGAGCTGGAGTTACAGATGGTGTGGGCTGCCGTGTGGGTGCTGGGAACCAAGTCCAAGTCCTCTGCAGGATCAGGAAGTGCTCTTAACTCCTGAGCCATCTCTCCATCTTTTTTTAAGACAGGGTTTTGTATTGAAGCTCGAGCTTATTAATTCAGCTAGACCAGCTGGAAACCAAATATTCAAACCTATGAGCCTATGGCGGCCATTCTCCTTCAAACACTGCAGGTTCCATGGTTAAAGACAAGTATAAGGACTTCAGTTCAGACGGCAGAACCCATGGAAAGATCGGAACAATAGCGCACGTTTGTGACCCCGAGGCTCATATTGTGAGACCAGAGCTCACAGGCCTGGAATCATTGGTGCTGAGTAACAGAGAAAGCTTGCCTTGAGAGATGCTGGAGGTTACCCTCTGACCTCCGCGCTTTCCATCACACGCGTGCGCCTGATGTTATACACACTAATTTGCGCACACACTCACATACATGTGTATCACATGCACAGATATTTAAAAATCAACTTGATTAAAGAATAAGAATTATCTATACCAAAAATCATTCATTTTATTTTGATAATGTCTGAGAAATTTGTATGATCGTTGTAATTAAATATTAAGCTGGTACAACCTAGAATCACATGGGAAGAGTCTCTATGAGGGATTGTCTACATTGGCCTGTGAGCATGTCTGTGGGGGATTGTCTTAATTAAATTAATTGTTGTGGGAAGACCCAGCTCATTTTGAGCTGCAGCGCTCCCTAGGCAAGGCATTCTGAACTATACGTTGCTATGGAACAATCTTTTTGTACACTATGAATATGTATTACCCTCCTTGGCTAATAAAGAGCCGATGGCCTATAGCCAGGCGGGATTTTGAGGGAGCAAGGACGCGGGGAGGAGGGAGAGGATTCACAGGCGTCTCAGAAGTGGCAAGGAGATTCAGAGAAAACAGGAGATGAATACGCCCTTCTGAGGTAAGGTACTGAGTCACATGATGGAAATTTAATAGAAATGTGGGTTAATTAAAGTTATAAGTGCTAGTTAGTAATAAACCTAAGCTTTTGATCCAGCATTTATAATTCATAATGAGTCTCTGTATGGGTATTTGGGAGCTGGCTGGTGGGTCAGAGTGGACGGGTGGTCCTGAGGAAAAACTCTACCTGCATTATATGAAAATACAGCTGAGCAGAAGCAAGTAGCTGAGCATGCGTGCATAAACGCTTTTCTGCTGCTGACTGGATGTGGGCTGATGCCATCTGAAGTTCCTGCTGCTTGGACTTCCTTGCTACCGGTGACTGTCACTTGGAATTATACCCTTTCTCACATAAGTTGCTCTTTTTTTTTTTTTTTTTGCCACAGTGGTTTGTCTGCAACAGAAAACTGGGGAAGCCATGTAGTTGGCATTCTGATTGTGATGAACAGATCTTCCTGGGACTTTTCCCACATAATCCAACCCAAACCCATGCTCTAGGTCATCTTTAATCTGCCATTTCCGATTTTGGATTAGAATTGTGTTTTCCTAGGTATCCTAAAATCAGAATTCTGTAGCACTAAATCTATAGTTTGTGGTCCACTTAAATGCTCTGTTCAGATTTTTATTTTTTTATTTCAAAATAATTACAGATTGCAAGAAAATTGCCAAGACAGTAACATAAGCTTCAGGTACCGTACATTCACCCAAATCCTTTAATTATGATA